GTGGGTTCTGGCCAGTCGCGAATCTTCTGTACCTTGGATTCTTCTGGTACGCGCCCTTCAAATGTGCATTTGTGTCCGACGATGATTGCCGTAGGCGCGGCTAGAACAAACTTTGATGCGGATACGGTTGCGCCTACGTTCTCTAGGCACTGTAGAATGCGATTGACAACAATGCAATGCTCCCAGATGAAGCGCCGGATTCCTGCATTTTCGGGTATTGTCTCGTAAGAACCGTCTTCGCGCTGATAGCGCGTTCGCACTGATTTGATCGGGACATCATCCACGAATGGCGACGTGAATTCTGGAATCTCGTGTTGCAGGATAAACGCGGTATCGCCTTGGTAAACCTGTACAGCATTAGCATGTCCTTGAGGAAGAGTGGTTAGCCGATGGGGACCCAAAGGCGTTCCAAAGGTTGTCAAGTCGCACGAGTCTACGTGAAGCGCGCGCTGGTCATAACCTGAATATAAGTCCAATATTGCGTACACCGCGTATCCAGCGAACGCTTCTGCGAGAAGTTCAACAAAAGGCGGAAGCGACGCGTCACAAATTGTTACTGCATTAAGCGGCTGCAAGTCGTGAACTAGGCGCAAGGATTTCCCATCTTTCTTTACTATGCAGAACCAGCGCGAGCGATACGCGGCCGTTGATGGTTCATATACTCCGGACGAGATCTTCTCCTTGATAATGCGCACTACTTCATCTAAAGTGGCTGGTGGAATTGGAATATTGCGCTGAGACCAAGGCATGTGCGGAACCATAGGAATCTTGTATGGCGGGAAGTAGGTCTCGTTGAGGCGCCCGCGCTCTGAGGCGTCCCATGCGAATGCGAGTTCGTGTACGCGCACGAGCCAGTGCACTAACTTGAGTTCTTCTGGCCATAGCCAATTTGCTGGGTCAAGGTCTAGTTTATCTGCGCGCCTGCGTAAAGCGCGCGCCTGGCGTGAATTCTGGGGGATGGGTAGGTAAGTCGGGTAATCCTGCTAACGGGTCATCTGGCAATTGGCGCACTACCCTATACTCTGCGGGCATAGTGGTAGGTACCGTACGCACTTTCTTCGCGACTGGTTTATAAACCAGCGCGTGAAGTACGGGATCATAATAATAAAAAGAATTGAAGGCGTCGATAGTCGCCTTATCTATAACGGTCTGCGTGGATGTTAGATGCGCGTAACGCGTCGAATACTGCGGGATAGAAGAGGAAGGAAATTGATGCGTAGAGACTAAAGGTAATGCGTTGTTGCTCCTTAAGAGCGAAGAATGGGACGTGCTATCCGCGCGCGCTGTGCGTGGCGCGTTAGGCATGATGCGAGAATGCGAAACTTGATGCGATAAGGAAAATACTTGGGAAGGCGAATGCTTAAGGGCTTCTCCCCGCGAATGCTGCAGATCATCGATACTTAAAAACCCTGTTCCTCCTCCTTGAGCGCGTGCGAATGCGCATGACTCGCGCACTTCGCGTCTCTTGCGAGCTGTCGCTTGACCCAAGGTAGGGTTGGAATGTGCAGTTCTTTGCGCGCGTTAGGATCAGTTAGTATGAGATCCTGCTCCCCGTCGGGCAGATCAAATGTGCGACACGAGGTAAGCTTAAAGAATGGGCGCCCTAGTAAAACTTCAAAGGTCGCGCGCTCGATAACCTGGACTTGGAAGTATAAGGGTCCTGCGCCAAAATCAAGCGGGACGTTCTCTATGACTCCTAGCGTCGCGTCGCGTGACGTGTTCACCGATTCCATATTGAGGCTATGGTCCAACCTGAGCGGTACGCCGAGCTCTTTCCATACTTCCCTTGGCATGACTACTACTTCCGCGCCTTGATCTAAGACGCAGGTGAGAGTGCGCCCTTCCAATGTCTTGGCGCGAATACAGCGCAGGGGCGCGAAGTGATCCGCGACGATTTTACCGTCGTCGCTTCGCATGCGCACATCCTCATATTGCTTTAGCCATTGGTCGGTTGCGGGGTGCCCTGATAATTCGTGCACAGATACTGCACCTACTGTGACGCGCTTCTTGGTCGTAAGTTCGCGGAAATGTTGGCGAACGTCGGGAGATACAGCTAATAATTCCCTTACTGGGATATTGAGATTGGAATCGAGAAGGCGCTCGACAACGCGTTTGTCGGCCTCCTTGTCTTCGAGCGCGAATGCATAACGATATGATGATGACTGTGCTGGTGCTTGGGTTGGTGTTGATGACGACGATGGTGGCAATACTGAAGATTGAGATGGGGATGACGACGATGACGATACTGGCGCAGACGATGATGGTGTTGACGATGCGGGCGAGGCGCCCTTAGGAGGCGCCTTGGCGCTTGTTGGCGCGCTTATTGGCGCGCTTAACGGCGCTACTTTCGCTACCTCTTTTCCTTTACCTTTGTCAGACGAAGCCTGTATTTCGGGAGAGATTATCTCCTCCTCTACCGTGGCTTGCCTAGATGCAGGTCTCGGACGCGCGCGCGTTTCGCTGGGTATTTCTACACCATCGAAGCGCACACTTTTACCTTTGGCATTGCGCTTCTGGTCGCGCCTTGCAGCTACATAGGCTATCGCTTCTGTCATGAGATCCACCATCTCGTCGTCCTCTTCGAGTTCCGTTTGCGCGACTGTGTGCACAAACGCAGATGAGCCTACATCAATTACCGCGTCGATCTCGTCGGACGCGCGATAGAATAGTCCCGCTGTCGCGCCTGTACTAGCGGTCGTATCCGGTGTCGCGCGACTTGCGTGATGTCGATCTAGACGATCCTTGAGTAATCCTCGGCCTGGAATCCAATCGCCATTTGGCAAAACAAGCTTGCGTGTCTCTTCGCTAACCTTACATTTACCCACGTCAATATACCTTTGTTTCTCTGCGCAACGAGGGTAGTAATGTTCGAGACTGCCGCAAAAGGCGCAGTCATTGAACGTAGGCGCGTCGCGCTTATATTCACGCTTGGTTACTGTGCCTTGCGCGGGCGATTGCGCTGACGTGGTAGCTGTGACTAGGTTAGTGAATGGCGCTGCCGTAGGCGCGCTAGGCGTCGCGCTTGCTGCAGGCGCATTCGCGGGCAGAACGAAATGTCCAGCTGTAAAGACGTCCATGAACGGGTATGGATCCTGCAGGTAGTGATCAGGAAATTTAATCATTAGGCGCGTGCGTATTAGCGCCTGAGTATCCTTGGGAATCCCTTCCATGAATATGCGATCGCGCTTGGCTTTACCAATGCGATCTTCTGCCAATAGCGGTTGCATGACTTTCTTGAACGCGCGAAGGTAGTTGCTTAACTCCTGGTACGAGGGCATCGTCTTGTTCGCGTATTCGTGCACGATGGCTTGTAGGTCCGAAAGCGTGTAGCGCCTTTTGCCATCCCATCCGGGATACATTACCTTGACTTCTTTCATGAACGCGTTGTAATCGCTTACTTGCGCCTCCGGCATTCCGCCCCATAATTCTCGGTCATCGCGCTCAAGGTAGCGGATGATACCCTTAATGCAATCGAGACCTTGTAGACCTACGTCGTCAGCGAGCTGCTCGTATAGGTCGATAAAGTCAGCGAGGCTGTCGGTTGTGCCATCAAATTTAGGCGCGTCCGTTGTTCCACGGACAGGCATTCTGGTTCTTACTGTGGACATGACGGGCGGTTGGGAAATTGCAGGCGCGGGGATCTTGTGACTGACAGGTGCTTGGCGCGCGTACGCGAAAGGAAGGTTTGATATAACGGTACCGCCTGGGATTGAAAATGGCGCGCGCGGGGTTTCTAAAGCTTCTTGCTTGATCTTAGGTATTCCCGTTGTAGGAAGCGCGTTCTCGCGCGCAGGAACTACTGGCGCGTTAAGTGGAGTGTCGCTAGAGTCGTCAAGCTCGGTTAGCGCGCTTAGCGCTGACAGGTTAGAAGTATTAAAAGGAGGTTGATTGGGCGTGTGGAGGAATGCTCCGGGAAGTTGGCTCCTTGGGTTATCTATTGCTTCGAAGCCGTCGGATGACTCTTCCTTGACGGATTCTTCAGGCGAGGGCGTGACTGGCGATATCAGTTGTCTAGGCGCGCGCGCGAAGAGTGCTGGATCTGGTCGCGGAGGTTCTGATATATTGCGCGAACGACCGCGCGTGTGTTGAATGAATAAGGGTCCTGGTATAATGGATTCTACCGCTCTGTCGAATGCGGCGATGGCTTCTTCTCTGGCTATGCGGCGACTGTTGGGTCTGAGGCGCCGACCTTCTATCTCAGAAGTGTCCCTCGCGGTGGGCTCCAGTTGTAGATGAGGAATCTTGACTATACGTGAAAACACTTAAAACAAAAGGGGTGCTCAACAGCAAGACCGGGATACGAGACAACGACTCGACCCAAAGGACAACCACTGAGAGAAGTTCCTCGAAATAAAGTGGAGGGAAACTCTGTGAGCTAGGCGGGCGCTAATAGGCGCGAGAAGATAACGCGCGCGAAGGCGCGCGTGCGCGAGGCGAAGGCGCGCGTGATGCGCGCGTGAGCGGGAGGTCCGAGAATGCGCGCGCGCGAAGCGAAGGCGCGCCTAAAGCGTTAGAGGCAAGATCTTACTGAGGAGTGAGTGCAAAGGTGGAGGATTGACAGGAGGATATGATCAGATAACAAGTGGGGAGGTGATCTATTCACTTTCCAGTACACAAAGATAAGGGAAAAGTAAGTACCAGAACCAAAGGAAACCCTTCTGTATTTAAGAATGGAGAAGGCGCGCTTCCGAGCGCGCTCCTGAACCGAGTAACCATATCAAATCTAACTATAACTAAGTTTAAATAAACTTTCCATAAGTAGCGCGGATGTCGGACCGAAGATTTTATTAGTTCAATGGATAAGATAGAAATAACGCACCAGCGAATCAGTAAGGACATGGGACGGATGGACGGACGATAGCGCGAAGACCTATGGGGAGGCGCGCGAACGCGCGCGTGCGTAGGTAAGGCGCGCCTAAGTGCGCGCGAGTTCGGATAAGGCACGCGCGAGTTCGCGCGAGACTGGTCCTTAGGAGTAGAGCTGTAACATATAGGAATGTATGGTTAAAGGCCGGATATTCGTCATTGAGACGTGCGAGTCTCTACAGCGGCTTGATGCGCATGCAACTGTGCAAGCCGCCAATTTAAAGGCCGTCTATGTGGTATGTCAGTGTTTGAAGTTACCGAATTCTTATTCAATTCCTCGCTTGTACAGGACTCAGATCAGTATCCCACTGTTTCGGTAAGGGTTATTCTTGGGCTGCCGAGTATCTGTAGTGTTTGATAACACCTCACTCAAATGATTCCAGCATACTTCTTTGATTGTGCCGACCGGGTGGAAACAAGTGGCTGTCTACACAGATCAGGACCTCGTCACTCGTAAGGTGTTTCAGGTATGTATGCAACATTCAAGATGAACATGGTCGTGATTTTTGGTAAAAGGTCGATCCAACGAGCACACTCTTCTCATCAAATCATAGCTCCAGTGCCAGTGTATTTGAAGAAAACGAGCTGTTCATGTCCACCATGAGTTCTCTTAGCGAAGGACATTGGATGTCAGACGTGAATTCCTTGGTGCTTGACGCTCCCTCTAATCCAGCGGCATCTGCGTCTGGCAACATCCCGGACCGAACCACTTTCCTTGACTCGGAGGTGATCCCTAGTACCATTGCCGCAACGAATAACACTCTTTCTCCGACTCATTACCAGCAGGGTGCAGTATATGTGTCGTGCAGTCCGCAAATCTTCACAAAGGGTATTACATATGACCACGATTTTCTGCAAAAGCACTTTTGCAATGCTTATGTCACGATCAGCGACGCCAAAATTTTGGCTAAAAATTATCTCTGCTCCCGCCCTCATGTTCCTATTGGCCAATTCAAGACGTACTGTACGCAGGCCATCGTCGAGATGTTGACTGTTGCTGCCAGCGTCGGTCAAGCAGTAGAGCTAGGTGGGCATGACCTGACTGATGTTTGCCTCAACATGCTTATGTTATAGCAGGGTTTCGCTGTAGTAAAACCGGTCACACCAAACAACTGAATCTTCAGATTGATGCCGTCTCTCTTGTACGTTTTTAATTTGGTTTATGTAGCCTGAATGACACTCACATGCACCTGCAGGTATCCAATGAACGGAAAGCATTCATGAAGTCTATAAAAACTTTTGCGATCTCCTTCGTCGACTACCCAGACAGAGAGCGTTTGGGCGGATATAATATCCAGAACATCGATGTGACAACAACTGAATACATCAAGATGCTCACCGGCTTGACAAGTGCGAACAGTGTTGTCACTTCGATCGCATTTACATGTGACAATCAAGGGGTATTGTTTCCTGTTTCGAAAGCGACTAATTATTGATTTTGGATATTCAATTAGAGGCCATACTGTCGGTGGATTATCATTGTGTTACTCACACATCGTCTGTTGCGACCCATTCAAAACCGTAGTGATTCGTTGCTTGATCTGTTCCTGGATGATTACCATACCTTTCTGGAACACCTTCTCTCTGTCATTTGCGCAATGATAGGTCACATTCACTGATTTATGCTCTTCAAAACACGAAACTTATTTTTATAGTTGGTGATGGTGCTCAGAACCCGCTTCCCTGGTGAAGTTCCGAACAATTTTGCCAAGGAGGCGTTCATGGACGAGGAGGCTCGACAACTGGCCCTCTTCAGGTCATTCCGTAACAGTGGGGTCCCACAAGCCATTGAACTGAACACCTGGCTCACAACACCCAATGGCTGGCGTCATGACCTGTGAGTGTTTTTTTTAGGCTCGCCAGTCTAACTCCATGATCTGGACAGCCAACACAGGCTTGTATTAGGGAACAGCCTGAGAGGTCCGCACTGAACTTTTGGAAGGGTTTCACATGTACAGTACAAGTCATAGTATCACAGTCACAGTGCACCAGTACAGCCGTCATGTAAATATATGCCAATCATGATACTGTTAGTTCCTTTCCACTATGAAATCATAATGTCTGGCCCAGACTCACATAGTAAATCCGTTGAGAAAAGTAAGTTTTGTGGGCACCGTGGAGTATCGGAAGACCATCGGAAGATTTCGGATCATCGCAGCAAACCTTGATAACAATCTGCTCCATTGTGTCTCAATCATCCTCAACAGGCTGCACACACTGCAGCAGTCCATACTCTGGTGCTTATTTAATTTCAGTGTTCTAGAGGCTGCTAGGCAAGATCTCAGCCCTCGACATAAAATATAAATGAACAACATAGTGCATTCTAGATAGTCTCAAAAAGATCATCCAAGATGGCTGACCACCACCGTGACAACAGTCTGTCATCTAAAAAAGTCTGTAGCATTCCTCCATGTCCTTTAGAGTCAGCACATCTAAACTTCTCTTTTTTTAGCGAAGCTAGGTTGTTGGATGTCAATCCCAATCACTCTGGTCCTTCCTATCTCGCAGTCTCTCAGAGGTTGCCTGGATTGCCCTGAAGTGGCAGAATCTTGTTCCTCATCTTGCTTGCAATGTGAAAATTTATCACGGTTTTCATCATGGACGGACGTCTGCATTACTTTGTCCTGCTGGCCTGACCTGGTGTTATCAGTGTGTGGGATCTTGTTTGTTTACTTGGTGTACACAGTACTGATGACATGCACAAAGCCAGGCTACCCGTCTCATGTGCCATCCTTGTTGATTCCGTATTGCTTGATCCGTGGAAGTAGGTTTCTTACAGTAGACTTCACTCGTGAGTCAATTGGTTCTCAGGCTCTATGTCAGCGGCTCTTTACAGACACCAACACAGCTTCTACGCGGCGCAAACTCAAGGACCTTACTATCTACGACGTGAGCTCCAATTCGCAGAAGACCATGGGCGCAGGGTTTGATGGTGTGGTCAACAGCCTTGAAGCAAACCCAGTTCGTCGCGGGTAATGTACATATTATGGTAGAGTATGGTTCCAGCGACCTCGTGATGTTGTTCAGCGGTGGAAGCACAGGCCCCGTCTCGTATAAAAGGACACTGTCCTCATCAACATCTAATAACTTAGACGACCTACAATGAACTACCCCCCGCAATTAGCAATGCAACCTAGTTCAACTTGACTAGGTTACAATCAATTCTCCCAATGACCCACCTCCTCCAGCATGTCCTTTGGAATGCCCATGACCACCAATCCCGGCATCTCCCAAATGAACGGTGCAAACATGCCCATGAATCCCCCGTCATTCTAGTATTCTAGGCAATGCCTTTCTCGCCCTGCTTGTCTCCCACAAAGACAGCAAATGTGCCTGCCACCGCATTCGCCAAAATCCCTCTCCCCCATCCAGATTATCCTTCCCTGTTGGCTCAGAGGGAAGTACCAGAAAACCACCTTATAGCTATGAACAACGTTCTGAAGTGCAGAACCCCGTACACAACCCTGCCAACCCCTTCCAGATGACCGTGCTTCAGCTTTGAACAGCTTCTGACATCAGAGTGGACACAGGTACTTAGGGTGGGCGTTGGGAGTATCCTCGTAGATTGTCTGATGGATTCCACGACGATTGAGCGGACTGCTGTTGATAAGCGTACCAACGAAGAGATGTAAGTTTGCCTGTCTCTTGTATGTTGCATCAGTTGAAAATTCTCTGCAGTAAAGAGAATCAACCAGTGTTCTACCATGCGTATGAATATGTGCGCGGGCAGAAACTCGGTGTTATTCGGTTAAAACAGTTCAGAACGCATCGCAAAAGATGGCTTGCGCGAAACGCTTCACCCGTGTCATCTGCCCATGCTCATCAAGCCCAGGCCTTGGCTCAACCATGACCGAGGTGGATATCTCTACAATTGATGTGAGTATACCCGCCAGCCTTTATCAACGGCTCACTAACATTGGTGCCAGTGATATCTACACTTTCATTATTTTCGAGTGATAGCTCGTACATTGCTGGAACAAATGGCTACTCGAATGGCATTGTTCCTATGCTTCGCGCATATGATGCCACAGCACGCTATGTTGATCAAGGTGGCAACAAGCGGCCGGGAGCTTTCGCGATCTACCTTGAACCATGGCACCCTGACATCTTCGATTTCCTCGACCTGAGCAAGAACCATGGTAAAGAGGAGTCGCGCGCCCGTGACTTGTTCTACGCACTGTGGATTCGTGACCTGTTGTATGTGTTCGACTGTAATCCCCCTAGCCACCCTAACTCTCCCTTATCAGCATGAAACACGTCGAATCCAATGAAAATTGGTCGCTGTTCTGCCCAAACGAAGTGCCTGGTCTTCACGAGGTTCATGGCGAGGAATTTGAGGCTCTATATGAGACGTACGAGATAGAGGGACACGCACAGACGGTCATTCCAGCTCAAAAGTTGTGGTATGCTATCCTTGAAGCTCAGATTGAGACTGGTGGTCCTTTCATGGTGTACAAAGATTCCGCTAACCGTACATCAAATGACTTTGTGGCACTTTCCTTGCTCACAATCATCCGTAGGCAAATTGAACCAAAAGAACTTGGGCACCATCAAGTTGTCCAACTTGTGTACTGAAATAATAGAGTACTCGTCGCCGGAGGAAACCGCCATTTGTAACCTTGCCTCTCTTGCTCTCCCTACTTTCATCTCAAACGGCAAGTATGATTTCCAAAAGCTTCATGATGTTGCGAAGGTCGTCACCTGCAACCTGAATCGCATCATCGATGTTAACATGCGCCACCGTCCCATTGGTCTTGGTGTCCAGGGTCTCGCAGATGCTTTCATGATTCTCCGTCTACCATTTGACTCACCGGAGGCAAGGCAACTCAATTTTCAGATCTTTGAGACCATCTATCACGCTGGACTCGAGGCCAGCTGTGAGGAAGCTGAAATAGATGGGCCATACGAGACTTTCAGGGGTAGTCCTGCCGATCTCGGTCAACTGCAGTATGATCTCTGGGGTGTCACTCCCTCTGACCTTTGTGATTGGACCAGTCTCAAGGAAAAGATCGCACAAACTGGATTGCGGAATTCATTGTTGGTTGCACCCATGCTGACTGCATCAACTAGTCAAATTTTCGGTTTCAATGAATGTTTCGAACCCTACACCAGGTACGTTTGACTTCCTTGTCACGTTGTGCAAGCTGACGCGTTCGATTAGTAATATCTACACTCGTCATGTCCTTGCTGGTGAATTCCAGGTTGTATGTCCCTGGTTGCTCAGGGACCTTGTCGATCGTGGGCTCTGGAATGACGACATGAAGAACATGATCATTGCTCATAATGGCTCTGTCGCCAACATCCCCAGCATACCAAATTATATTAAAGCCATTTACAAAACCATTTGGGAGATCTCACAGAAGAAGGTTATCGACCTCGCTGCTGACCATGGAGCGTTCATTTGTCAGAGTCAGAGTTTGAACATCCACTTGCAGTCGCCTACTGTAGGCCAACTGACTAGTATGCACTTCTATGGCTGGAAGAAGGGCCTCAAGACTGGGATGTACTATTTGCGTACTCGTCCGGCAGCGCAAGCCGTTCAGTTCACTATTGACCAGAGCGTGCTCAAAGCAGCCAAGGTGCAACAGGGCGAATCCGGCAAGGCTGCCACTGGCATTCCTACCCCTTCTGCATCTCCATCCCCTCTTCGCCGAGTTCCTCCACCATCTAATTCGAATGACAATGGTGTTGCACTGAGTTTGTCAGGCCCCCACTGCCATGATCGCAGTCTCGACCAGACGACCCCAGTTCTGTGAGTCTTTTTCGTCACTGCAAAGACGACGTATGGCGGTCCTCATTGCAAATACAATTTCTTTCCATTTTCTCACATGCGACATTTTTAGCATATGGCTCTTCGGGCTGCCGTGTCTTCCCTTCAGCGATACAAAGCTCTTAGGACTCGACGTTCTCGGTAGTGATGTGCACGGCCCGGCTTCAAGCCATGGGCCGGCCCAAGCCAGGGGCGAGCTGAGCTCGGCCAAAGTCATGGCCTGACCACGGCCTAGGCCCTGGCTTGTGTTGAAAAGCCGGAGCCGGCGGCTTTATGTACTACACAGTACAGACTATCGAGAAGACTTTGCGAAGGCACCGTTTCACGCACAGAAAGGTATGAGGATTGTGAATTTTATGCTACTTGCCTCATTTCCATACACGGCCAGGATGTGAGGCTGTTTGCTTCCACGCCTCCAGCACCGTTACAACAAGAACGCGCCCGCGCTCGAATCTGACTATCTATCCTACACGAGTGCGTGTATATTGTTGGTTTTCCATCCTTCGAACGTCCGTCTCATGTTACTTTAGTGTTCGAAGCGTCCCTTTTCATCACAATCCTGATATTTTACATTGACATAAAAGGTATCCATGCTTACAGTACTGATACGTCGTTCTTGTTCCACCTTGGAAAAAAATTCTAACGATCGGGACGGTCCATACAGACAGTGACGTTCTCTGATCCCACCAGCTGGTACGTGTATGGAACGCACCCATTTCACTGATTCCTCCTGATATCCAACAGCTTCCTCATTTCGTTCAACTCCCGCCATGCACTATCCAAGCACCTCATATACTCTTCCAACTTGTGCTCCCTTCGTAACAGAATCAAGTTCAACCAACACTTTTGTTCTTCTGTCGTGTTGATCGGCTCATGTGGCAGCGCCGTACGGTGGTGAGCAACACGGTATTGGGCGATTTGCGTCGTGGCATTCCAGATTGCCTACCTTTCGTTTAGTCTGTGACGGTTGGATTCAATATTTTTACTTACAATTGCCGAGTCAGTGATGATCAGTGGCCCTGGTATCGTTGTAAGATCAGGGAACATAAGTAGCTAGTAGTTTGGTGGGATCAGACTTGTCTGTTCACAACACGTTACAGATCTACTTACAGATTGCACGGATTGATCATTTTGTCCTTGAATGCTGAACCGATCGTTCTGCAGTTGAATGTTTTGGTCCATGGACTCAATGTCGGTAGTAGCGATCTCTCAGATTATTTTGATAAGTAGTTGAAGAGTTTGGCATACTAGTTTGCATGTGTCCTACTAGCATTTACGTAACGGCGCCTGCACGCCATAGCGTAGTCAGCCAATTAAAACTTGTTTTATCGTTTATCCTGTCACACCATTCTGCTAAAGTTTGTATATTATTTTGTCATATAATGACCGTACTGAGGAGTTAATACACATTTCTGTCGGAGTTGTGACCTTCTTATAATACCTTATCCTGTCATGCCATTCTGCTAAAGTTTGTATATTATCTTGTCTTATGACGACCGCACTGAGGAGGTAATGCACATTTCTGTCAGAGTTGTGACCTTCTTACAATACCTTATCCTGTCACACTACTTTGCTCACACCTGTACATTATTATATATTATCATATAACCGCACACAATGTGATAAAATTCTGGTCTAATTTTGTCAATCCTATCTACAAAAACAATGCTCTCCTCAATTTCCTGATGTAAGATACTCCCACGACACGGAGCATTGAAAGCCCTCTAAAAGCTGTTGGGATTGGATGTAGCACCCTTGACTTATGTATATGTCTGCACAGTGGATAACACAATCAGCTACCATTTCGTGGTTGCCGGTGGCGAGATAGAGTGCCCTAGCAGCTTTGAGAATCTTCATTGAGTCTGTGAGCTGGGAGAGAGTGAAGTAGAGCCAGCTGAGATGCCACAAGCAGTCTGCTTTGAGCTCATACGTGGAGGAGTTCTTGACGACATCCAAAATAGTGGGGGTTAGGGTAGTTGGGTGAGGAAGATGACACCTCAAGCAAGCCAAAAATTTTGAGCAAGTGCGAGAAGTCTCTTCAGGGATATGGGCGAGGTCGAAAGCAATGACACACTCAATGTTGAAGTGATCCGAGATAATGACATTAGCATGACCGTCTTGTTCTTCCGAACACTGCTGGACAGTGCCATAGTAGAAGGTGCGTATTTCTTGCAAACGTGTGGGGTCAGGTACTGGCAACAAATCTTGCACATAATGTCAAATGGGTGCGAGTACCTTGATGAAGTTGTCTTGATGATAAACAAGAGATTGCATGCATAGAACATCACATATAGTGTTGATTTCTTGGAGCGATGGCAACAAATCGCCAGCCAGGTTGTCATTAAGACCCTGGGGCAAGAAGGCGATTATGGCTAAAGTACGACAACCATCCTCGCCAAGACCCTGGATGGATGGCGAGTTGAGTGATAGCTGCATGGTGTCTGACAAGCTTTGCAGCTTTCCCTTGCCGGGGTTGAGCACGGCGCTGTGCCGATCATTCCATCTCTTCAGTAGTATGGCTGGAGACAAGTCATTTTGCCGCGCAGTGTGTGCGAGCAAATTAATGGAAAGAGGGTGAAAATCCAACTCCCTGAGTAGGTCCTTTATTTCTTCCTTGGCATCGCTGCAACGGGTGCAAGGATAAGTTTGAAAGAACACTCTTTCCACAGAACTCAAGTCCAATGGCGGAATGTCCATCATTCTCCATAATACATCTGTTGCATTCCTTCGACTGCGTGACGTGAGGATCAGGATGACGCCACGGATGTCTGCAATCTTCGCAATTGCTGGTGGTATTTTTTCGAGCGCTGACAATGCACTGGCCTCTTCGAAGGTCTCGGCATTATTGAGGACGACAAGGGCACTAGCGGAATGAAGAAAGGTGGATATCGAGCGCAAAGGATCAGCACCGGTGATCTCTATACCAAGGGCTCCCGCGAAATGAGTCATGAAAGTTTCAAATGTGATAGTCGAAGGATCTAGATCATCATAAGCCACAAAGAAGCGCCGATCAGCAAATTTTTCGATGATAAGTGGCTCGTGAAGGATGGCTTTGGTGAGGGAACTCTTTCCCATGCCTCCCAGACCAATCAATGCAATGTGTTCACCATTGACAACGAGGGTCGTCAACTCCGCCACGAGATCATCACGGCCATAAAACATGGAAGGTCGTGATGGAGGCTCGATTGAGTGATACCTGACTGCATTTAGAGGATATCCACAACCCTCAGAAAATAACAACTTACTTTAGAACATTGGCACTAGTTGTATTGCTGTCGAGTCCCAAAGTAAGCCTTTCCACCTTCATGGCAATGCCAGCAATCGCTTCAGTCTTGAGATGTCATTCAGCAGTAGAAGTTCGGGTCGAGTCACAGAGACGTACATTGAAGAGTTTGAGGGCACTGCCTATGTCCTTTTCCCAACTAGCAATCTGGTCGCGATCAATCGTGGCAGAGAAGAACCTCTTCAACAATCCTTGCTCCTTCCTTGAGACCACCTTATTATTGATATCGTTAACTGACCTGCTTAGCATTGTTAGTTTCTAACGACAGTAGAATTGGGTTTGCTTACGAATTAAGTGTCAATAAAGCATGGACCAAATATCTTGGCAGATTGTCGTTGGTAGTGTCTTTGGTCACCCTCTTGAGGATTTCCCCGATGGTCTTACATTTATTGACTATTGCCCGGAAATCAGATTTGTTCTTGATCACCGACTATATGGACGTGAGGATGTTTTAACCTCATTTTCAAGAGAGTGACACCGATGCACCTGCACAACCATCAGGATATTGGCGACTGTTCTGAGTATACCTTTCGCCAGGTCACTAGGTACGACAGTTTGTACAGCGTTGATGCCTGCTATAGTGACATTCAGCAGTTGGCTCATATTTTTGGCCTGGGACTCCTGAATTTGAGAAGAGGGCTGTTTAGTATGTGGGTTGTTCTATCACAATGTTAGATCAAACAGTGACGCCTAAAGACGTTCCTTCTTGCCTTTGGTTTTTTGGATATTCTTAACTTTGTGCTTTTGGATAGCATCATCTCAGTCTGAAGTTCTGTGGTAGATCCTGGACCGTATTCCATTAGGTCTCAGTCGATTAGTGAGTGAACGTCGCTGCCTGCCTTGACTTGGATGCAAGCCACTTGTGTCGACGGTGAGAAACTGCACAGCATAAATGCATAGCATCCCAGGCCCCGGCACCTGATAGTACCCTAGGCAGGGAACCCTAAGCAGTAACTCTCTATTGGTTGATTAGTGATCATGCTTGCGCTGAGTTTTCGAAATTGCATGACCATGCTAGTACTGGTCGCATCCAAAACTACCTGCATGTGATCAAACAAAATATTCTTGACTGATCGTCTTGTTGTCTTGACATACTGGGGTATCAAAGTTCCGTACATGAAGGACACATTCTTTGCATGCACCTTCAGGGCCGCCCGAGTCGATGATATTTTCGAAGCATACTCCGATGATTATATAATCATCAACCAAGCAATTTGCCAAATCTACATCTATATGATAGAAAAGGAAGCTCTCTCCAACGTCGAAATCATTTTGAAGACATCTTGGCCACATCCATGTGCCAATCCAATGCAGTATGCATAGTACTTTCCAAATATGGTAAACAATAATTTATTTTCTCATGATATCGGGCACTGCCAACCTTTTTGCAAAATAGCTGTAACATTGTCTTTGTTCCCTCTGCTGTACTGCATCACGAAATACAACTCGTTATCATTGTGCTGCTTTGTTTAGGGTCACCAATGCATCCTCCCATGGCACATGCTGCCACTCCAATGTAAGCAGGGTTATTCTCATCACTACTTATCTTCCTCACAGACTCACAGTTGCCTCCCCCCAAATCCCAAACACCAAGCTACTGCCATACTTCACATCATCTTCACCTTGTTGAAGTTCCATTGCACGGTGTCTCCAAACAACGTCCAGCCTGTGTGTATTCTGGCAGCACCAGACATGCTGATGGGGCTTGCGCTGGTTACCGAGGAAAAATTCAATGTCACTTTAAGGCATCCCATCCTACACTGGTGGGAGGTCTGTTTAGGGACAAAATCATTGATTTGACCCTCACGTCGTGCTCATCTTGGCAGTATGGGAGCGGATGTTAGACAGGAAAAGGGGGTACAATCACTGATGCTGGTGCTGGCTAACCTACAGAACGGTCGTCCTCAGGGCCTCAACTTTTATCAATGCTACAACTGCACATATTACAGTGACCTATTTCCATATAATACGAGGGAACAGACGTGCATAATATCCCATATGATACGGGCCAGCGGACCATGGGCCCATGATAAAAATATCCTCGACTATGATGGATGGGCCGGGAGGCAAATTATTCCCGATGGAGGCGGGTGGGCCCATGCAGGGGATATATAGAGTAGATGAGTGGGCCGATGTACATGAATATTAGGTAGACGGGTGGGCCGAGGTAGTTGGATATTATGCAGATGGGTGTATTAAGGTAGATGTGTATGAGATAGATGGGTAGGTACTTGTTATCACATTCACGGGTGGGCCCAGACACATATTAAATTAGATGGGTGGGCCGAGGGTATTATACAATATTGTATTATACGGGTGGACCCAGACGCATATTAATTAGACCGGTGGGCCGAGGGTGTTGTATGGGATGTTGTATTAGACCGGTGGGCCGAGGGTGGTATAAAATATAGATGGGTGGGCCCATGTGTATCATAATTGTAAACACGATGGAGCTGAGGTAGTTGTACATCAACCAAATCAGAGGAGGTAATAAAATCAAAGTTACCAAGTTCCTGGAGCAGCAGGTGATCTCCTGACATGGCCTTTGATGGTGCACAGGTTGTCTTGCAAAATTTGGAATCCGGGGTGCGAAGCTTGTGTTACCCTATGAGAAGCCAAGTTCCGATTACCAACCTTTGGGTCAACCATACTCAGAGGAGGTAATAAATCAAAGTTCCCGAGTTCCCGGAGCAGCAGGTGATCTCCTGACATGGCCTTTGATGGTGCACAGGTTGTCTTGCAGAATTTGGAATCCAGGGTGTGAAGCTTGTGTTGCCCTATGAGATGCCAAGTTCCGACCACCCAAATTTGGGTCAACCGTACCGACTTCCAAGTTCCGGGACCCGGGAGTCGACAAATGAATATCTGATAACCAGCACACTTCCAATCAGGTAGTATTTCATTGAGCAATGAATCATCCAAGGGGTCTCTTATCAGACTCGGTAGTCAATATAGGCAAATGATAATGAAAACATGAAAGTTGTTATTATGCTATTTTTCAAACCCGAGACCCTGAAACCCATTGTTCAACATGTCCATTTTTCACTCACTGCACAAATCACCAAGTTTCGAGTGCCAAAGCGTGAAACTTGAAACCCAGTGTGCAACATGTCCATTTTTCATGTACATTACACAATTCATTGAGTTCCAAGTGCCGAGGGCCGAAACCCGAACCCTGAGACCCGAAAATATGTACACAACATGTCCATTTTTCACTCATTGCACAAATCACCGAGTTTTGAGTGCTGAAACCCAAAACTTGAAACCCGGCGTGCAACATGTTGATTTTTCATTTACATCACACAAATCATTGAGTTCCGAGGTCCGAGGTCAGAGACCTGAACCCCGAACCCCAAAAATATGTGCACAACATGTCCATTTTTTACTTGTTGCACAAATCACCGAGTTTTGAGTGCTGAAACCTGAAACTCAAAACCCGGCATGCAACATGTCCATTTTTCATTTATATTACACAAATCATCAAGTTCCGAGGGCCGAGGGCCGAAACCCGAACCCCGAGACCCGAAAATATGTATGCAACATTTCAATTTTTCACTTGTTGCACAAATCACTGAGTTTCAAGTGCCAAAACCCGAAACTCAAAACCGGGTGTGCAATATGTCCATTGTTCAATTATATTACACAAGTCATTAAGTTCCGAGTTCCAAGGGCCGAAACCCGAACCCCGAGACCCGAAAATATGTACACAACATGTCCATTTTTCACTCATTGCACAAATCACTGAGTTTTGAGTGCTGAAACCCGAAACTCGAAACCCAGCATGCAACATGTTGATTTTTCATTTACGTCACACAAATCATTGAGTTCCGAGGTCCGAGGTCCAAGACCCAAACCCCGAACCCCGAAAATATGTGCACAACATGTCCATTTTTTACTTGTTGCACAAATCACTGAGTTTCAAGTGCCAAAACCCAAAACTCGAAACCCGGCATGCAACATGTCCATTGTTCAATTATATTACACAAGTCATTGAGTTCCGAGCTCCGAGGGCCGAAACCCGAACCCCGAACCCCGAAAATATGTACACAACATGTCCATTTTTCACTCATTGCACAAATCACCGAGTTTTGAGTGCTGAAACCCGAAACTTGAAACTTGGCATGCAACATGTTGATTTTTCATTTACATTACACAAATCATCGAGTTCCAAGTGCCAAGGGCCGAGACCCGAAGCCCAAGACCCGAAAATATGTATGCAACATTTCCATTTTTCACTTGTTGCACAAATCACCGAGTTTCAAGTGCTGAAACCTGAAACTCAAAACCGGGTGTGCAACATGTCCATTGTTCAATTATATTACACAAGTCATTGAGTTCCGAGTTCCAAGGGCTGAAACCCGAACCCCAAGACCCGAAAATATGTGCACAACATGTCCATTTTTCACTCACTGTACAAATCACTGAGTTTTGAGTGCTGAAACCCGAAACTCGAAACCCGGCATGCAACATGTTGATTTTTCATTTACATTACTCAAATCATCGAGTTCCGAGTGCCGAAGGCCAAGGCCCAAAGCCCGAAACCCAACATCATGTACACAACATGTCCATTTTTCACTCATTTCACAAATCACCAAGTGTCGAGTGTCAAAACCTGAAACCCGGTACTTCAAATGGACACAAATTGTATTTGTATGTATTATCCATTGGTGTAGGGCTCAAATAACCTGGGAATTGGTACTTGGCACTCAGTGATCGGTGGTCAGTGGTTGGTACTTGGGACTCGGTACTCGGTACTCGGTACTCGGTACTCGGTACTCGGTACTCGGTACTCGGTTCTCGGGACTCGGTACTCGGTACTTGGGACTCGGGACTCGGGACTTGGGACTCGGGACTTGGGACTTGGGACTCGGGACTTGGGACTCGGGACTCGGGACTCGGTACTTGGTACTTGGTCCTCGGCACTCGGTGATTGGTGGTCAGTGGTTGGTACTCAAGACTCGGTAGTTTCTCCCTGATACCCACCAAAAAACCCACACCCACAAGGTGGGTGTGGGTATATCATGGGGTATGGGTGGGGGTAGTGCTACTCATACCCCGGGGTTCACCCACACTATTCCCTATCGGTACTCGGTACTCAGCACTCGGTGATTGGTGGTCAGTGGTTGGTACTCGAGACTCGGTAATCAATATAGGCAAATGATAATGAAAAATGACAGTTGTAGTCCATGTCAAGGTGAGTGATTTGGTAGTCTTTCCTTGTCATTCAGCAAAACATCAGCAATAATGAAAAAATGAAAGTTGTTATTATGCTTAACTTCCTTACCAAAGGTTGTAGTCCAAGTCCAGGTGAGTGTAGTGGTAGTCTTTTCTTGTCAATTGGTTATCTTGTTACTCATTACGCAGTACTTGGTACATGGTAATTGGTACTCAGTATTTAGTTTTGATACTCGGTATCTGGGAATCAGTAGTCAGCTTAATCAAGGTTGTAGTCCGAGTCTAGGTGAGTTTATTTGTAGTCTTTTCTCGTCCATTGGTTACCATGTGACCAAGATATAAGCTAAAGAAATCCAAAACATCAATAATGACAAATGAAATACATGTGTGCAGTAAGTGAGTCTAAAGATAAAGAATGAATATTAATAGCGAGACTTGCACATTATGTCGAGATATCCAACATGACAAGCCTGTGATGTGATCAGAGACCTGGAATAACACCCATATACATCCATTATAATAGCTTAAAAGCTTAGAAATATTCATGAAGGATTGATGTAATGATAGGCAAAATGATGTGTGGAGAGTGACAGTAGACATCTTTTATACAAAGTCACATTTATATATGATTCAGGCCAAAAATATCATTACAAATATGTAGGATAGATTGTAAACTACCTAAGGAACCCATACTGCCTACTGCCCTGAGGGTAGGGGGTGGGTAGAAGGGATATAGTGAAAATATGAGTTGACCCAGCATTAAAGTCCTACCACTGCTCAACTAACCATTTTCGATGCTTTGGGTCTTTGAAGTTTCCCACACTCAATTTCTTACCCATTTCACTTCCTCAGTACTCAATTCTTGGTTGATTTGTCTGTAAATTTATGTCTATGATACTTAAGATATTTGAAATGTACCCCAGGTTTCTGATTATGAAGATTCAATGTTTTGAAGGCATGGGCCCCTTATCAGGCAAAATGGCAAGTATGCACACTAGCTCACAAACTCCAGCCTATTGTGAGCTGATCTTGGTCATAAGAAGCAAGAATATAAGCTATGCTCATTATATATTAAAAGGTTGGATCATGGATGCAAGGGAAAGATACTGAAAATTGTGAAAAAATATCACAAGTGCAATTGTCTATGCTTTGTTCCTGGAGAAGGATCCCGTGTGTCCTGGGCTGGTTATATGATATATCTACTCCGAATATGCTCAGGAATAGACTCCCTACAGTCCTTGAGGTCCAGCTTTACAGGGAAAAACCCCCAGCGGGTGAACCACCAGAAGAGGGGGAGGTACACTATACAATAAAGGATTACCCTATGGTCCTCAGCTCCTGATACATTGTTTCTAATGTTGAATAGATGATTGAGATATAATTCCAAAGTCTGTTCACCTAGAAATGAACACATAGGAACATATTTTGTATTTTTATGTATATATGCAATATCCATTTAAGCACCAAGTCTCAACTACCGATTACCAAGTCACAACACTTGATAGTTGATAGTCAGTATTTGAGCTCCAAGTGCCAATATTGCCTACCAATATCTCAGTCAAATGATAACCAAACCAAGACCCAAGTTCCAAACCTGACTACCAAATACCAAATATCAGTACTCGGGACTCGGGACTATTGGCTGGAGTACCCAACTATTGATTCCCAGGTACCGAGAATTAGAACCAAGTACCAAGTACCTGACTACTGATTCTCGGGTACCAAGTATCAGAACCAAGTACCAAGTACCCGACTACTGATTTGAAGTACCGGGTTTCGGGTTTCGGCACTCGACACTTGGTGATTTGTGCAATGAGTAGATGGGCATGTGGCATACATGTTTTTGGGCTTCGGGTTTTAGGATTCTGCCCTTGGCACTCAATGATCTGTGTAATGTAAATGAACAATGAACATGTTGCACACCGGGTTTCGAGTTTCGGGTTTCGGCACTTGAAACTCGGTGATTTGTGCAACAAGTGAAAAATGGAAATGTTGCATACATATTTTCAGGTCTCGGGGTTCGGGTTTCGGCCCTCGGCACTCGGAACTCAATGAATTGTGTAATGTACATGAAAAATGGACATGTTGCACACTGGGTTTCAAGTTTCACGCTTTGGCACTCGAAACTTGGTGATTTGTGCAGTGAGTGAAAAATGGACATGTTGTGTACATATTTTCAGGTCTCAGGCTTTGGGTCTCAGCCCTCGGCACTCGGAACTCGATGATTTGTGTGATATAAATGAAAAATCAACATGTTGCACACTGGGTTTCAAGTTTCATGCTTTGGCAGAACTCGAAGTTGTTGATTTAGATATCACCCGAAACCTGAACACCTGAATGTCAAATTTTCAGTGCTGAACCCCCAACCCTGACTGCCGGGTGCTGAGTCCCGAAGTCCGGAACTCAGGATTTGACATTTGAGATGAACAAAATTTTTCAGACATGTTTGAATTAATCTACGTATATCTATAAACATTTCACTAACCCCTGAACCCTGAAAGATATTTTTGTTGTCTTACATACCAAATTCCGAGTTCCGAGTTCCGGGACCCCCGGACCCCCGAAACCCGGCAGTCCACAATTTCGGAGTTCGGGGGTTGGTAAAATGTGTATGGATATATGAAGGGTTGGTTTAAACATTTTAAAAGATGTCTCATATCAAATGTCAAGTCCCAAGTTTCGATTTCCGGGTTTCAAGAGTGCTGAGTCCCGAAGCCCGGAGTCCTGAAACCCGGAAATCAAAACTCGGGACTTGACATTTGATATGAGACATCTTTCAGAAATGTTTCAATCAACCTTTCATATATCCATACACATTTTACCAACCCCTGAACCCCGAAATTGTGGACTGCCAGGTCTCGGGGTTCGGGGGTCCCAGAACTCGGAACTTGGGAAATTTGGGGAGATCAATAAAATTTGATTTACCCATGTTTAAAATATATTTTTGTTCTACATACCGAGTTCCGAGTTCCGGACCCCCGAACCCCGAGACCCGGCAGTCTCGGGTTTCGGGGTTCGGGGTTCCCGGCACTCGGAACTTGGGGAGATTTGGGGAGATCAATAAAATTTGATTTACAATTGAGTTGATTGGCAAACACATTGACTTACCCATGTTTGAAATATATTTTTGTTTACACATACTGAGTTCCGAGTTCCGGGTTCCGGACCTCCGAACCCTGAAACCCGAGACCCGGCAGTCCACAATTCTGGGGTTCAGGGGTTGGTAAAATGTGTATGAATATATGAAAGGTTGAATGAAACATTTTTGAAAGATGTCTCATATCAAATGTCAAATCCCGAGTTTCAACTTCCGGATTTCGGGAGTGCCGAGTCCCGAAACCTGGAGTCTTGAAACCCGAAATTCGAAACTTGGGACTTAACATTTGATATGAGACATCTTTCAAAAATGTTTCATTCAACCTTTCATATATTCATGCACATTTTACCAATCCCTGAACCCCAGAATTGTGGACTGCTGGGTCTCGTGTTTTGGGGTTTTGGGGTCCAGAACTCAGAACTCGGTATGTGTAAACAAAAATATATTTCAAACATGGGTAAGTCAATGTGTTTGTCAATCAATTCAATTGTGAATCAAATTGTATTGATCTCCCCAAATTTTCCCAAGTTCCGAGTTCCGGACACCCGACACCCGACACCCAGCAGTCTTGGGTATCGGGTGTCCAGAACTCGGAACTTGGGGGAAATTTGGGGAGATCAATACAATTTAATTTACAATCGAGTTAATTGACAACACATTGACTTAATCATGTTTGCAATATATTTTTGTTTAGACATACCGAGTTCCAAGTTCCGGACACCCGATACCCGAGACCCGAGACTGCCGGGTTTCGGGTGTCGGGTGTCCTGAACTCGGAACTTGGGAAAATTTGGGGAGATCAATACAATTTGATTCACAGTCAAGTTGATTGACAAACACATTGACTTAACTATGTTTGCAATATATTTTTGTTTAGACATACCGAGTTCCGGACACCCGATACCCGAGACCCGGCAGTCTCGGGGTTCGGGGGTCCGGAACTCGGAACTCGGAACTCGGTATGTCTAAACAAAAATATATTGCAAACATAGCTAAGTCAATGTGTTTGTCAATCAACTTGATTGTGAATCAAATTGTATTGATCTCCCCAAACTTTCCCAAGTTCTGAGTTCCGGACACCCGACACCCGACACCCGGCAGTCTCGGGTATCGGGTGTCCGGAACTTGGAACTCGGTATGTCTAAACAAAAATATATTGCAAACATGGGTAAGTCAATGTGTTGTCAGTCAACTCGATTGTAAATTAAATTGTATTGATCTCCCCAAATTCTCCCAAGTTCCGAGTTCCGGACACCCGATACCTGAGACCCGGCAGTCTCGGGTTTCGGGGTTCGGGGGTTGGTACATCTCGGTTTGGGGTTTGGCACTGAAAATTTGACATATATATTTTTGTGAGTGTTGTGCTTCTGGTGTCCATGCTTAGAAATAGGATTTGTTGCACACCAGGGTTCAGGTGTGGGGTTTTTCCACTTCAGTCCTGGATTATTGGTCAATGCCACACATGATCGATTCATGTTTTTGTGCTTAGGGGTTTAGATTTGGTGGTTGATGGTAGGTATATGCACTCATAGTGTACATGTATCCTATGTGTTTGATTCACTGGTGGCTACATCAGCTGTATGTCTTGATGGAACATATCTAGGCTCACCCATATATGTAATACACCCCCGTCGGCCCGCCCATCTACGTATTATCCCCCACGTCAGCCAACCCATCTATGTAATACATCCTATGTTGGCCCACCCGTCTATATAATACATCCTACATCGGCCCACCCATCTATATAATTATACCCCACCTCGGCCCACCGGTCTATTTGATATCCCTTTCGTCGGCCCACCTGTATATGTAATACACCCTATGTCAGCCCACCCATCTATGTAATATTTCCCTACCTCGGCCCACCCATATATGTAATACACCCACGTCGGCCCGCCCGTCTATATAACAATATTTGCCTTACATCTCTCTTCAGCCCAGCTGTCTATAATATCCTACTCTACATATTACCCAGATGGGCCCACCCATCTCCATGAATGATCATATTCCCCCGGCCCATCCGTCAACATTAAGGATATATATATCATTGGCATACATGGGCCCACCCGTCTCCATCGGAAATAATATGTGTCCCGGCCCATCCGTCATCATCGAGAATATACACAACATGGGCCCATGATCAGCTGGCCCGTCTCATACGGGATATTATGGAGGTCGGGTGGCCCGTATAATACGGAATTTGTCACTGAAGGGGCTCACAACTGTCAGCAGCCCCCTACCACAGCGTGGCTTGCAGAAGTCAGAGTCATGAATAAATACCTCGTATATTTTTGCACTCTTTTGAGTGATGGCGTGGTGCTTTACTTCCAACAATATAATTATTCCTATCCCTAATTTTATGTGCCTCTTTGGCCCGTTCTGGAATCAACTATTTTAACTGTGCCTTGACCATCCTCCAGCAATGTTGGCTGCCAGTGAAAGGCAGGATTGAAGTTTATCAGGCTCAGCCTCCAACACATCCGACTGATCCCAAGCCAGCTTGATCACATATCCAAGTCTCTTTGAAATATATTTATTGTGTTATGAGCTAACTGAATAGGCACAAATTACGTAAGTTGTCCCATGCTGCACCATACCCCCGAGACAACTTCTTTTGTCAGCCTGTATTCCTGGCCAACCATAATGGTTTCAAGTGGCAAATTGTCCTCCATTGCTCACTCCAGAGTGACTCATTCTTCATCCAAATCTCGAGCTAGAAAGAAAATTAAACTTGGATTGAAATCCAGAGGCACTCATTCCAACTCCAACACAAAAATTGGTTCACAAGGCTTATGGCCATCTTCCAAAGATGTTGATGTTTCAACACGTTCTGTGGAAATGTGGCTCAATCTACAGCTAGTAGAGATAAAGCAGTCTGTTCAATCAATAATCAGCCTCATGGTCCCTTCAATCCCAGGTCAGAGTGTGTGCACACTCAGAGACCTGGTCAATGCAACCCTGGCTGCAATCAACTCGTGCGCTCTCCTCAAGTTGGTCCAATATGACTTAGAGTTGGTACTCTCCCATGGGACTACCACCATAAGGAAGGGGCAGTACAGTTTCTACACAGTCAACTCAACTGTTGATGAGTAGGTACATGTAATTGTGCCTGCTGATAAGAACCTAATTGCACTACAGGTGGCCAGCACTAATGTATGTTTTCTCTCGACTGACATCTAATGTCCTAACCAACCACTCTCTGCATCTCAGAAAGCATCGCCCCCCAAGGAACAGTCTGAGGAGAGCTGCAGGTACTCAACTGCCATCGCTAGCGCTGACCAGTTGGCCTTGATGTTGAATGACTTCCAACACAAAAACCCAAATTGCAAGAAAGATTGGAAGTCCCTATGGGACACAATGCAGATGTCACAGGCACCAAGGAACACCTACGAGCTGTTTCGAAGGTCAATCTGGCCCATGTACAACATGATAAGTGTTGCTGTACCCTCCTACCCTTCATTCACTCAGTGCTGCAGGCTGGTGTGGAGGAAGGCCAGTGTAAAATGAACCAGTTTGTCGCAACCCTCACTAAGTACGACAGTATGACAGATCTGTTGGCAAGAACACCCCAGTTGTTCATGGAGGAGAAGATCAAGAGTATAGATAAATACATAAAAGCCAGTCCAAAGGCTCAAATTGGTGGAAATAAAATGACTAGGGGCTTTCATGTTGGGCTTCATGAGTTTTTGTTCATCACCTATAGCAGATCTGACTACTCTACAGAGATGTTCCTGAAAAGCGCCACAGCACATGTACCCTTGCATGACAATGTGGACAGCCTGGACGACAGCAGCCTGAAGGACGACAGCCTGGAGGATGACCTGGAGGATGACGCCTTCGAGCAATGGAAGGGCATTGCGCACAATACAGGCACACATGATGAGCGCTAGCCTTTGGGTTTGTCACAAGTATGTAAATGAAAGAGGTTGACATTAAGCCCAAATGTCTGGACGGTGGCATTTCAACCTATATATCCTCATCCACACTACATCTGTCTACATATTATAAGGACAGAGTGATTTCCAATATAGTGTTGACATTATGTGTGTGCTCTACTTGAGCCCCTTTGGGGCACCACCAGGCATCAACAATGCCATTGACTCCCTTTCAAACGGCTTAGTGTGAAATGTGTGAGCGTGAGTCTTGGACTCATCCATAAAGAGATGGTATCGAGAGGTCGTGTGAGTACATAGTAACAGGTCCATTTCCAGTAGTGGAATGGAGGTAGCAGAAAGAAACATGTTGAAGATGTTTTGACCACTCAGAGACATACTTGTACGGAGTTAGAATAGTTGTTGATAGATTTATTAGTATGATGTCGACGCATGAGATCACAGTGAAAGTGATGTGATGTGCGACAAAAAGGGCAATGAGAGTGATGCAAATGGTGCAAACAATGTGCAGCACAACACGAACGATGTGAGAATCATGAATGATGCAAATGATGCAAAAATGATGCGAGGACAATGCACAATGCGATGAAGACGATGCAATACAACACATCTTGGTCGGAAATCTCAGAGCTTGTCATTTTTCGTATTATGTAAATATAGAATTATCACATTCCACCCAATCTCATCATGTTGGGTTTTCACTGGGCTCAGTACTGATCTGAACCTCGATGAATCTGCCATGAAGACTGCCAATGCAGACCGGACTTTCGAGAGAACAAAGACAAAAAGACAACGGAGAACATAGTGTACAGGCCCAATGATCTCTTATTGTAATTCATGGTAGAAAATGTCCAAAGGTGAACAGATCGTAACACATTTTGACATCTAAATGTATTATGTAATAGTGAAGAAATGTTAATGTGTGGATACAATAAAGTGAGTATTACAATGCGATGGATGGTGATAGTAAATCTGGGAGTGGAAGTGGGGGCAAAAATGAGCAAGCAAGAGTAGTGTGCAAAACGAGTGAGTGGGTCATACTATGGTCTGGAGGTTGAACAAATTATGAGGAAACAGGCAACGCTAGCTGCTGCTTAGCTGGACGTTCAAACTCTGCGATTTCCTCTGAAGGTTGACTAACTTGAACGTTTGGAAGCTCCTAATGTAAACTTTTGTGTAGATTTGAATGAAGACTTTGAGATAATTAATTGGACTGAATTCTCTATTCGAAATAATACTACAGTATATATATGAAGGTACGCTAAATGTAAGTACCCGGTCCGTGTATATGTAAACACAGACTTGTCTATGGTCCACGAGTCAATGACAAATCTTGTCTGTCTTGGACATTACCAGTTATTAGTCATTCCCTACATTACTCATCCTTCTATGTATTACTAAGCCTTTTACTCCTGTGCTCGTACCATCATCATGTACGGCTGAGTCCAACACTCCCCCTCAAGCACAGCTTACTCCTATTGTTTCTTTCAATTCTCGAAAATGTGGTACCAGCAGCACCTTTGAAAATGCGTCCAGAATATTCTGGTCCGACAGTTCGTATTGGAGTTGGAGGATATCATTTTGGACAAGGCCGCGGATGAAGTGGTAGCAGAGGTCTATATGCTTGGTGCATCCATGAAATTTCTTGCTTGATGCCAACACTATAACTGCTTGATTATTGCAGTATACCTTCACAGTTGTCTTCATCAGCCCGTACAACCCTTTTGTCAAGGCTTTCAGGTAAAGTACTTCCTGTGCTGCTGATGCTAACACTTTGTATTTTGCTTCAGCGGTTGATAGTGCGACAATACTCTGTTCTTGAGTGCGCCATGTGATCGGGGACCCATGCAATTGGACGACATGTCCGGATATCAAATGCCTATGCGGCTGGCTTGTCGCATGTGTTAGCGATCCAATCGCTTGTTGATACGGTACGTGTTGTTCGGATATTTCAGATTCGGTGTCTGGTGAATGATCTGTTGACTCTTTCTTCAGAACTATCCCTATTCCTATGGGTGTCTGCAACATTTTCACATCCTCGAGATGGAACCTTTCCACAACTGCGTTGATTTCATAGGTCAATGTCTTCTGCCATTCTGCAGTGTCTGGGCCGCTGAAGGCCTCATCCAGTGCCAGTTCCTGATGCGCGGCTGATGCCAATGGCCTATGAATGCCTGGTATGTCTTCCTTTTCTATTGCTGTATCATCTGTGTGGCTCAACGCCTATTCCAGTGTCGGCTCTTGATGCACAGATGCCATTATATGAATGTCAGTTCCGGTTTCACCTGGTGCGTGTATTGCTCCTTCGTCTTGGCTGCTCAAGGCCTCATCTAGTGTCAGCTCTTGATGTGCAGCTGCTAATGCTCTGGGTGTTGTTGGAATTGGTAGGAAATGTGTGCTCTGGAGAGTTTGTGCGATGGGCTGGACGATATTCGGTGCATTGATTTGTGTCACCTGGCTAGACTCCCCCTCGTCCAGTACATCGTCATGAATGTTGACATCTGGCGGGACAAAACTAATGTTTCATTTGACAGAAACTTGTTCTTCTTCCAGCCAATATGCTCGATATCCCCTCCTTTCCTCATCTATACCAGCAAACAAGGCCTCCTTCGCTTGTGCTTCAAGCTTCCTGTTATCTGGTGAGTGGACATAAGCTTGTCTTCCACATTCACGAGCTACTGCTGACTCGATTCAATATAGTCCTTTGATCTGCAGGATTTCAGCTATGGTCTTTCGTTCTGGTACTGGGGTGAGTATTTTGCACATTCGATCTTCGAAGTGCACTGCGAAACCGGCCATAGTGATCCTGTTGGCCGATATTAGTGTGAAGGCCATCTTGGGAGTGTATAGAGTGTCCTTGAGGGTGACTGTTGTCTTCTTTGTCCCAAGGGGTAGGTCTATCCTTACATATATCTCCTCTTCCTATAGCGCTGATAATAGAACCATCTGCTGTGTGCACATCTTGTGCTTCAATGGGGATGTAGGTTATAAACTTTGAGCGATCGGGGCAGAAGTGGGACGTTGCACCGGAGTCAATGATTGCTCCTTGGTGTTCCATAGGTATGTTCATTTGTTTTGCAACATTTGCAAGGTCTGACGAGGCAAAGGCATAGTTATCATTGCTTTCTGCTGTGTTAGCAGTCTGGTTCGAGTGTCCTCCCTTCCTCTGTCCTTGGCGCAGTCCCTGCCCTTCCTTCCCTCCTCTGGGTCTCCAGCAATTGGACTTGTAATGTCCTTTCCTGTCGCAATTGTAACAGGTAATGTCCTCATTCCTGTTCTTCCTTTCGTTTGTCTCCGCTGAGAACGCATTGTTTCCTCCTTTTCTAGGAGCTTTGGGATGGGCTATCTGCTGGTGCTCGTACTCCTCTGTGATGACATTCATCAACTTGTATGAGGTAAGTGGCTGTTTCATGATGCGTGCAGCTGCATTGATTGATAAGAGTATTGGTCTGTAGGATTCTGGTAGTGATCCCATAACAATAGCATAGTAGTCTCTTTCGTTTATACTTGCTCCCATTCCTGCTAACGCTTCTCGGATCCTCAATAGGTCTCCAAAATGTGTCTTCACATCTCCGCCTTCTTCGCACCTGGTCTCCTGCAGTTTCCGTCGCAGGTCTATCTGCACCATCTCCGTCTTTCCTTCGTGTATGTGGCATATCTCTGCCCATATCTTCGAGGCCTCCCCAAGGCTTTGGATGCGCAACAATAGTCGATCCGAGCACCCCTGGTCGTAAGGTTTGACCTAATAATGTGGTTGCTGCCACGGATCCATTGTCACTTTTCATGGTTGTTGCCACTCAGCCCATTTGACCTCATTTGATCTCCCATCTGGCTCCTGCCAGTTCTCCTACCCGCAGCTTGCTTACAAACCCATTAAATAGATGTATACCATTTGCGAACCTGTTTATTCATGAATATTAGTTTTCCTACCCACAGCTTGCTTACAAACCCATTAACTATGTATACCATTTTCAAACCCATTAATTCATGAATATTAAATCGCCACAATACACAATATATTCGATATCAAAAAAGGTAATGAAGAGCACAAATCAGTCTACATCATCTACCTTGTCCTTGTCCTCCTCTGCTCCATCCACCTGTATTGAAAATGGCTCATTGTCAGCATCCGAATCTTGTACACCACCACCGAACATACGTGAAAATTTGTGACTTTGGTTAAATGCGGATTGAGCCTCCCATAGAGCAGTGCATGCTGAATTGCAGACTGACGATATGCATATGCACGTGCACCCTCAACAATACCTTTGTCATGATGGTCTAGCCACCATTGTGCTCGCCAGCCTAAATACTGGCGAACTCGTCGCATTTCTTCCTTGAGTAACAGAACCTCTTCTGACCACCTCAAGGAGCGAGCACATGCTTTTGCCCACTCAACACACACAGCTAAAAAAAAAATTTAAATAAACCACATGGAAGGATATTACACATACCATCGTTCAGCAATGCATCAGAGTTATCACCGAGCACACCTCTGGTGGTCCAAATCCATGAGGTCACACGAAATCCTTTGCCCAGGCCATTTTGCATATCTTGCTCTCGCCTAATTGTACGTGACGATGGCTCTTCCTCCAGTGGATCGTGAGTGTTGGAATGTAAACTCGTCTATTTCCTTTTTTAGTTTTGACATGTGATTCTTTTGGTTTATCTTCTCGCTTCGTTCGTCTTCTGATACCTCAGTTGTTGATCTCCAACACTGAGGTATGTCTGTCTTCATCTTATCTCGCCGACTTTGTCTTATACTATTTTCTCTCATAGCGTGTTATACTCTTAGGTACTATCAATGTTTAGTTGTTGATCTCCAACACTGAGCGTGTTATACTCTTAGCTTCTAACAGGTTATGAGCCCTGCTTTCAAGCGGAACCACACACAAAGTCACTCAGTCGCAACAACTCATTATACATCCTTCCTGTTTCCGTACTTCCTCTCGTTATGGGAAAACTCGACCATATTCTGGAACTAACAGGTCCGGACAACTATTTCCATTGGAAACGCGAAGTTATCTATGCGCTGGGGGTCGAGGACCTTTGGTGTCATGTCTCGACTTCCACTGACCCTACAGATATACTTGGTGTCGCATCCAATTTACCTGTTGTGGCAATTCCGGGCGCTCCAACTGCTGATGAGACGAAAAATATTCGTGCTTGGCTCATTGACGACCTAAAGGCCAAAGCAATCATTACTCGGCGTTTATCTACCTCCGTCCAGCAGTTTATTTCAGATGATCATACAGTATCCGCACGTGCAGCGTGGAAGACACTTGCCAACCATTACAGCCGCACGGACATAGGTTCACAGTACCTCGTACGGAAAGCTCTTGGATCTCTGCAAATGAAGGATACAGCGGATGTCGCCAATTATATTGGGAGTCACACAACCTTGCGTGAACGCCTCCTTAGAATGGGAGGCACATATTCAGACGATGACGCAATCTTTCAACTTCTTTGTGGTCTTCCGAACACGGCGGCCTGGTCACAATTTGAAGTCCTCTTGGAACAGCGCATCCAGGATGCCAATGCAGCTGCGACTCCACTCACGTTTGACAACTGTGTAGCTCGTATTTCTGCTGAGGCATCGCGTCACAGTGCCAAGAAAGGTTTCAGTGGCCCCGGCTCCGAGTACACCAACGCTGCAATGACTGTGGCAAGTGGCGCACCAGCAGCGTCTACTAACGCAATCACGGGTCTTCGGAAGCATAAGCATAACCCCAAGGGTATTTTTTGCGTCACGCCAGGCTGTGGGAAAGGTGATCATGACCACTCCCACTGTTACAGGAAGGGTGGTGGCATGGAAGGTCAGGCTCCTTGGCAAAAGGCCAAGAGGGCAGAGACAGCTGCCGCTGCAGTTATAACACCCTCACCTACCAACCCACCAGTACCTCCCATCGCTGCGTTCGCGCTCGAAGATTCATCAATTGAGGCATTTGCTGGATCCTCTGCTGCAGCTGCAGGCTTCTTCGGCGACCTTGCGTGCGCATCCATCGCGGAAGTTTCAGACGTCCCGCCAACCAATATGGTGGCCTTCATGACAGCAGCGCTCTCGACCATTCTAGATTCGGGCACTACGACGACCCTCATACGGGATCGCAAGTATTTCTGGTCTTACTCGATGGCAGACCCCGTGATAGTGCATACCGCAAATCACGGGAGCTTATCTACTTCGGGCCGTGGCGATTGTCTAGCAGTTTTGACGATCGGAGGAAAGAAGTACCGTATACGCCTGACCAACTGTTTACACGCACTGGAGGCCATGATCAACTTACTGTCTGTGGGTTACATGGTGGATCGGGGCTAGGGGTGTAACTTCCTTGGAGCACCAGCACGCTGCGACCTATCATACGGAGGAGCACTTCTTGGTTCGGCCCTCCTCACCAACAAACTCTGTTTTGTCGACCTAGAGTTCCTTCTTCCTCCTGACCCCATGGCGACCGTGCGCAAAGCGCCATCAGTGGACATTAGTGCCTTTGCGCATGTTCCTTTAACGTTGGACTTGTGGCACGCCAGGATGGGCCATTCAGGTGGAAACGCCGTTCGCCGGCTCCCTCTCTTCACCAAGGGCGCATCTGTCATGTCCGCGGCACCGCTCACCAAATGCGAGTCTTGCATTTTAGGAAAGCATCCTAGGCAACCATACCCCCCTTCTGATTCGCCTCTGGCCTCACGCTTCCTGGAGCTCGTCCACTCTGATCTCTGCGGACCTATTCCTACAGAGACACCGCATGGGAAAAAGTATTTTGTTGTTTTCCTTGATGATCACACAAATGTCCTTGATCTACAGCTTCTGGCATCTAAGGATCAGGCGCTTCATGCATGGGAGCTTGTTCGTGCCTGGTGGGAGAATATGTCTGGTCAGCGTGTCAAGGTCTTTCGTAGTGACAACGGAGGAGAGTTCCTCAACGCAGCTTTCACAAAGTCCTTGGAACTTGCAGGCATTGAGCGTCAGTTATCGGCGCCCTACGCACATCAACAGAATGGTAAGGCTGAACGTGTCCTCCGAACAGTTGAGGGGCGCATGTATGCAATGCTTGACCATGCAAAGCTGCCCCAATCATTGTGGGGGGAAGCCGCCTTATGTGTTGCGTATCTTTTCAACCGGTCTGAATCTCATGCACTCCTGCCCAGCAAGACACCCTACGAAATGTTCCATGGAGCCCAGCCAGATGTCTCGCATTTGCGCGTTTTTGGTTCGCGTTGCTTCGCTCGCATCCCTCCTGAACTTCAGGAGAAGCTTGGACCACAATCACGTGAAGCTGTCTTCATGGGGTATCCGCCTGGCGTAAAAGCATGGTGCCTTCGCGACAAGGTCACTGGAGCATTCTTCAATTCGCGGGATGTCATCTTCGACGAGTCCTTCTCTGGCTCACCCTTTTCAGATTCGGATGACGAGGACGACGATACACATTCAGCCATGTCTCGCCCGTCACATTCAACCACAACTCCCCCGTCACATTCAGCCACATCTCCCCCGTCACATTCAAGACCATCTGCGCCCGCCAGTGTTCCTCCACCTGCCCAGTACCATCTTCCCCCACCTCGGACCTCTTCTTGTGCTCATGTCGACACTGAGCGCGGCCGTGAGTATCAAGAGAAACTGATGGCAGATCGTGCTCGTCTGGCACATCAGCATGAGCTCTGTTTGGCACGAATCAACGGTGTACCTCCTCCAGATGCTCCTGAAGGATCTGACGTTCCCCTCGTTCCTGTTGTCCCTCACCCAACTGTAGTTGGCCCATCGGTCGAGGGTGGCCCAGAGGAAACGCCTGCCCTATCTACCGCTGAAAGGACAGTTAATGCACTTACCGATCCCTTCACAGCGTCAGCAGTTGAGATCAGCGACGAGGATGAGATAAAGCCTGACACTATGATGGTTGGTTTTCCTATCGCGGTTGCAAATCTGATTGTTGTCGAGCAAGCGTGCATTGCAATTCGCAGCGACACTCGTCGAAACCCGTCAACTCCTGGCTATGATCTCAAGATCCCGCCCAATACTTACGACGAGGCACTTCGCCGTCCAGACCGCGACAACTGGCTCGCTGCTATGCGCAAGGAGATGAATCTGATATCGGAAATGAACGTCTACGAACTGGTCGCCTTACCTGTGGATCGCAAAGCCATTGGATGTTGTTGGGTACTGGAGTTCAAGGAGGATCTCAAAGGCGGACCTGCATTCAAAGCGCGTCTGGTAGCACAGGGATTTTCACATAATTCAGTACTTTATTTTCGACTTAGTCAGACAGCCAATGGTTGAGAATAGACCCAGTTAGGCGGGCCGTCCAACGTGGGCCCATGTGTGCTTATGCACGGATGGGCCCACAGTGTGGAATAGCACCCATGCTAGCAGGTGGGCCAAGTGTTGATGCCATAGCATGAATGGGACAATTGTAATGGGCCACAAGGTACATGGGCCCAGTTATATATCTCGGAAGGGGGGTACGGATGGGCCTAGCTACTTATTCTTGGGGAAATTTGATGTCGGAAGAGCCAACAGGAAAATTTTGAGCCCATAATAGTATCAGGCATGGCTGGCGAATGGGCTCAGCTCGTATCGGAATAGCTTACGGATGAGCCCAGCTGGTTATTGACAGTATCGGAAGAGGGCACAAGTGAGCCTACCGGTCATTCCTGGGCCCATCACAATACTGGGAAGGGTTAGTGGATGGGCCAACTGGTTATTTTGGGCCCAGTAGATACCAATTCAGTGTGCGGATGGGTCAAATATGCAAGACCTGGCCTGGCACATAACAAATTCAGGTGCGGATCGGCTCAGTACACAAGCATCTGGAAGGGCCCAATCGGTCCTCACATTCAATATGAGGATCGGTCCGGCTGGTAAGGTTTAGGCCCAGTGCACCAATATCCGGAAGGCCCGAACTGGCCCAGCACATGCACATTACCGCAGATCGGGCCAGTCAAGGTGGGCCCCAATATGCGGGCAAGTCGGGTGGGCCTACCATGAAGGAATTCCCGGTAGTGATGGGCGAGCCATTAGTATATGGATGTGGTACTGATTTGGTAGGGGTCACGGATGGGCCCAGCAAGTTTTTTCGGCCCACCGGATATGCATATGATCCCACCTGGAGGGGCAACGTATAGTCTCATCTATTGTTCGGCCCAGTACATATGCTGGGTAGTCTTGGATGGGCCTACGGATGGGCCCAAGAGAATATTCATTTGATCTCGGAAGGGCCGACTAAGCTGAATATATGGCATGGGACTGCATTGTATTCGCGAAGGGCCAGCTAGTTATTTGGTCTGGCCCATGATAGGCATCTGATTTCGGAAGGGCTAACAGTTGTGCCCAGCAGGATATTCTTCGACCTAGTACATGTGCAAATAATCTCGGAGAGGCTTCCGGATAAGCCCAGTGCAAGTGTTGGATCTCGGAAGGGCTCGGCTAGAGAATTTGGGCCAAGTCAGTGCACTTTGTGTCAGAGACTAGTTTTACAGATGCAACTGGTGCAACAGAAACGAGTAATAAAATACAGGACAAAGTTCGATACAAATGCTGATCCGGATCTGACATTGATATACATGTCGGAGGGATGCACCATACATGTACTGTCTGCGATGATGCACATCATTATAACGCTCAGAAAATCATCGGCCATGATCATCGTGCCGTAGTCAGGAGTGTCAAAACTTTCATTGCCACTACCGCATGAATATCACAGCATCATGTCATCATCATGAAGTAAAGCATATCCTCACTATGGAAGACAAGATATTGAATGAAACAACAATGCAGCTCATATCTACAAATCACATAAACCCAGAACTGAGCTACAGGAGATGGGGACCATGAACAGCATAGTAAGGAAAGATGTAGCTAAAAGTACAGAATATATAGGGTATCATGATATAAAGAATCCCGGAAACTAGTCGATCCGAGATGTACCGGATAGGGTGTCATTGCTCTCTACCAGGCATCCGAGGCGTCAAGGCGTTGCTCCAGTGCGTCCAAGCGCTGGTGGATGATGGTCTCCACTGAACGAACTCTTACATCCAAGGTGTCCAGTCGCTCGTTGGTGGCCAGGAGATCAAATCTCCTGCCGAGGTCCTGAATGCCCTGCAGGATGTCCCTTGCAGTGGGCTCGGGATCGGCGCAGTTGGTTGGCGCAAACTGATCACCCCGTTCGGGCCGTTGGCTTGTGCTGTTGATCGCAAGCGTTTTGATCGGCACATCAGCCAGCAGGCCAGGTTGTTGCTCCACCTCTAAGAGTTATCTCAATGAGTTAACATCTTTCCATTTGGACGGAAAGCTCACCTTCGGCGATGTTAAGTATAACTGGAGATATCATGCGGGACTTCCGAATGCGCGTTCCGGAGTGTTCGGCAGAATTCAAGGAAGCAGCGGAAGCCTTTGCCTGGATTCTCTTCCTCATGCCGACGCCGTCGATCGCACAGGTGACCTTCATGAGGTCGCAATTTGCACACGCAAGTCGCATGCATCCGAACTTTTTGTCCGGAAGGACAATGCATGGTATGTCCATTTTCGTGCACTTGTCGCACTTCCGGGGATGGAAACGAATGGAATGCTTGAAATTTGTTAGGTTGTCCTGGTACAGATAGACACAACGACTTACCTGGAACGGAGTAGCGATACAATCATCTGAGCCCCATTCTGCAGGCTTGACAATGGGTCAGCATCAGCGCTACGGATAAGTGAGAATCACTTACCCGAATGTCTGAATCCCGGAAATCCTGGTCATCGCCTGGCAGACCAGCCTTGTCAGGAGCAACAGACGGTAATGCCTGGAGCGATAAGCCATTTGCTGCATCAACCAAGATCAACTGACATACCTTCGGTTTCGCATCAATGATTGCGGTTGGTGCATCCGACATCAACTTCCTTTTCTTTTTCAGAGGCTCTTGGGGCGAGGAAGGTAACTTGGGGGTTTCGACCACAACGGCCCCATCCGTGTCTTCATCTCCCACCTTCCCCTTCTTGCTATCGCCGGCCGTGGAAAGTGCCTTCCAATGTTCCCTATCAGCTTCGGCCACATACAGGTGGTGGTATCTCAAGGGTGGATGTGCCGGATGAAGGAGAGGGGGTAGGTTCTTGAGCACTCGTGGGCGGGAAGGGCGTTTTGGTTGTGCTACCGGCTTGGCAATGAGATCCAGGTCCGTGCAGGATGGATTCTGACGTGCTCGTAAGCGCGAAGATCGTCTCGGTTCCAGTACAGGCTTGGCAATGAAATCTGGGTCCGCACGGGATGGCGTTGATGCAAGAGCTGAGGTTGTCAAGGGCGGGACGATGTGAGGTGGTGAGGTGGGAGAGGTGGTGATTGTGCTCGATGTCGCAAGTAGAGAAACATCAAGGGCAAAGGGTGGGCGATAGTCCACGGTCTTCTCGAATCGCGGGTGGTCCTTGATCCATGGGTCGTCTTCTGCTACCGAAGTCCAATCGGGGACATTCTCAAAGGCACCGCCCTTTGAATACTGCCGGATAACGGCAGCGCAGGAGAGTAGCAGGGGAGAGAATGATGTTGCATTCCCCGCATAGAGTTTCAAGTCTTTGGCCTGTGTGAAATGGTCGGGTTGCAAAAAAATCTGAAGTCGGAGAGGAAATATAACTTACCACTCGCCTGGCGATCTCATCCGAGAGCCTTAAGGTTTCTGGGTCGGCTTCCTTTAACTTCATGCAACGCTTGATGAGCGACTGCACATCAGCCAGAGTTATCTCCAGGGCATCGTTGGCTGCTTCCTGAGGTATCATGACAAATTGTGAAGGGACGAAATTCGTTAACGGCAATGAAAGGGATGGAAGCAAGAGAATATGTTTGTGTGGGAAAATGGCTGGGTGTCATCCCAATCCGCCGGTTCTGGGTGTTTCCGAGACATGTGGTCACTCAGAAATATTGTCCGGGTGTCACACTATTGTACAGAACAATTGTAGCTACCACTCTGGCATTCGGTCACTGCCGTAGGTATATCCACACTGCAAATCCACAAAAAATCGTGTAGAGTCCAGCGATCTCATACACGGCATAGCACCCATTATGGGCGAGATGTGGATTCAGGGTTGTCGTGGCGGAGGTATTGTAGATCAAACCACATATTATTGTGATAACGGACAGTATTGGGGTGAAAATCTCACCGATACAGACTAGCATGCCGCCGCAACAAGCCTTAATCCACTTCTCACCCATAATGAATGCTATGCTGCGTATGGGATATCCGGACAGCAGATTATGGTCAGGCGGCATATGCGGATCGGCCTTTCCTGATGTGGATGTGATGACGTAAGACAGCAGTTCTATTGTGCAACAATAATGTTACACCCGGTCCACATTTCAGAGCTTCCACAATTCGCGGAAATGGCCACAACCAATGGGTTGATATAAAAGTCGGCACTTGGACAATTTTCCAAACACCAAATTTTGCTCGTCCATATCTACATTACCACATTGACTTCTATATCAACCATGACACCTTCCGAGGCAGCAAACGATGCCCTAAACGCCACTCTGGCAGCCATGCAACCGCTCATGAAGTGTTGCATGAAGTTGAAAGAGGGCGATCCAGAGAGTTTGACACTATCGGATGACATCGCCAGGCGTGTGGTGAGTTTATTTCTTTTGGACTTCGGAATTCCTGGCAAGCTAAACCCCACGCAGGCCAAAGATCTAAGGATGCATGCTGGGGATGCAATGTCATTCTCCCCGCAGCTACTCTCCTGTGCTGCTGTGATCCAGCAGTACTCCAAGGGCGGTACTTTTGAGTGCGTCCCCGACTGGACCTCTGTGTCAGACAACGACCCGAGGATCCAGAGCCACCCAAGGTTTGACAAGACCGTGGGCTACTGCAGTCCCTCTGAGATTGAGGTTTCTACCTCTTTTGAACCCGTAAATTTACCTGTGTCTGCCGTCCTCTCCCCAACAGATACTTTGACGCCGCAGTCCACGGTCTTGGCGGTCTTGCCGACTGCATCCATCGCAGATGGAGATCCAATCACCTCACCAGACACTCCACCCAGACCAACATCTCCCCCACCCAAGCCTGCGGATGCAACATCATCCGCTGACACTTCAGCACCTCCTGCTACTCCCTTCAAACACAATCTCTTTGTGGCCGGCACTCAGAAGAAATCTGCAAAGGTCGCGCCGCAGGTCGGCAAAAGTAAGAAGAGAAAAGCGGCAGACGACACTGACGAGGCGGTTACTGACACACCCGAGTTGCCTCCCCGGTCCTCGAAACCGAGGCAACAAAGGAAGAAGAAGTTCCACTCGGATGAAGACCCAGAGAATGCTCCCACCGGAACGGTATATGCGATCCCAAAGGTATGTCAGTCGCATGAATTGTTGACCAAATTGTTAACTCCCTCAGCAGAAGGTATCGCTGCCTGTTGCCGCTAAGAAGGATGCCGACCCAGCAGTTCTGGACACTTCTGATGCGCCTGATGACAAAGGTTTCCAGGATGCAGACACCAGGGTATGTTATTTGCGCTTAACAAAGCTCTTCCACTCATTCATTTATGCAGCCTGCCCTATGGGGCCAGGATTCCCATATTGCTACCCCGTTGCAGGCAAGTCATTCAGCATATGACTGCCATAATATACTAACCATTTTACAGTATTCCGTCCGTCATCACCCCCGGAAGTGCGACAAGTGCAGGAAACTCGACATACCCTGCCTTGTCCTGCCAGACAAGAAGTTCGGATGCACGTGACTAGCTTGCGCCAACTGTGATCAGATGAAAATCACATGTGCGATCGATGGCGTGGGTGTTAGGGAGAGGTTGCAGGCGAAGACCGCTGTAGCAGCATCCAATCCTCCCAAGCACTCCGGAACGCGCATTCTGAAATCCCGCGCCAAGACACCTGGCCGCTCATCTAGGAAGACAAACCTAGCGCCCCCACCCCCTAGTTCCTCCGGCAGTGAACAAGAGGGTAATGGTAAGTTTTTGATTCAATCCGAGAAGCTTCCACTCATCTATATTTCGCAGAGGCAGAGCAACAGCCAACGGATGTCCTGCCCGGAAATGCTCCAATGGCGCAACTTCCAACAACATCCGCAGCCGACCCAGTCCCACAGCCCGAACAGGACGCCCAGCCTGCGCCGGCCAATGCCATGGATGCTGAGCCAACAGCAAGACACATCTTGCAAAGCATCCAGGACCTCGGCAGGAGGTTAGATCTCTTCGCCACCAATGAGCGGGTGGAGGCATTGGAGGTAAGAGTTGCTTCAGCGGAGACCAACTTCAACCAACGGTTGAACGCATTGGAGCAACGGCTGAACATCTCGGATGCACAGCGGAGAGCGATGTCCGCATCTTAATGTCTCCCGATCTTACAATATGGCTATCCTTTGTGTCTTTTCCAGGTTCTTGTACATACTGGCTCCCAATATTCTGAGGATTTATGCCCCGTGTCATGCTCCCGTTGTTACCATATGACCAGCTTTGATATGTTCTAGGTTTATGTATATACCGGCTCCCGATATTCTATGCCCAATGCTATGCTCCTATTGTTACAATATTACCGACTGTTTTGTAATGTAAAGGTTCTTATGGATACACTAAGCCAATATTCATGAGCCCAGCCCATCCGAGATCAATGTTTGTGCTTTGGCAAATCAACTGGGCCTGACAAGGCCCAAGGGAATTCATTTGGTCTCGGAAGGGCCCACAAATCAAATTATACGGCATAGACTTTGCATTTGATTTCGGAAGGGCCAGCTGGTTATTTCTCTGGCCCAAGATAGGCTCATATGATTTCGGAAGGGCCCAGCTGGATGTTTCTTGGGCCCAGCACATATGCAAGTTATCTCGGAGGGGCTTCTAGATAAGCCCAGCAGGTTATTTCTTCGGCCCAGTGCTAGTGTTGGATCTCAGAAGAACTTAGGGAAGGACTCGGCCAGGTATTGTAGGCCTAGTCGGTTGCTATTAATTGTTCAACCCAGAACGTACACAAGCGGCTGGGGAAGGGGCATCTACAGAGTGTTGGTAATGATCTCGGAATGAGTGACAGATGGCCCCAGTAAATGAGTTTGTAAAGGACCTACAGATATGCCCAGCAAGTCAATGTTCATTGCTGTTTCAGGAAGGTCTGGTGAGAAATTTTCAGGCTGTACAGTATCTTACCGATCTCCCCAAAGAGTAAAGCATTTGGTCTCGGAAACACTGCTGAGTGCCCGGTACATGCGCATGTCATCTCGGAAGGGCCGATTGACATTACTTTGACACGATATAGGATTTGGGCTCAGAAGGTAGTATAGCGAGGTGTAGTCAATAGGGATGCATCTTGATATAGATCTCAGAGGGATACACCATACATGTAGCATCCGCAATGATGTGCCCTCTACTGCATGAACTATCTATACCGGAGTATCATGGCATCGACTGTCACAGGTTCATGTGATCATCATGAAGTAAAGTACATTCTCACTAGGGAAAACAATATGTAGCAACCAACAATGCGGCTCATATATACAAATTACATGGACCAAGACCCAGCCTACAGGAACATCGACCAGGAACAGCATAGTCAGGACAAAGTGGCTGAGTTATTGTATATATATGGTAATGGTGACTTGCGTAACAGATCCGGGCATCACAAGATGTACCAGAGATGCTGACATGCTCTCTATTGGGCATCCGATGTGTTCCACCTGCTCATTGGTGGCCAGGAGATCAGATCTCCTGCCGAGGTCCTTGATGCCCTGCAGAATGTCCCTTGCAGTTGGTTCAGGGACCGGCAAGGTTGGTCGGCGCAAGCTGATCATCCGGTTCTGGTCATTGGCTTCTGAGAAGAATTGGGAACATTTGCATGGGCACATCATCCGGCAGGCCAGGCTGTTGCTCCGCATCTGAGAGTCATCTCAATGAGTTCAACTTCTTCCGATTTGACGGCAAACTCACCTGCAACGAGGTTAAGTTTAACCCCAGAAGAACGGGAGGATTGCGCAAGTGTGTTCTGAGCCGGCATCTTGGAGATCACACCAGATGTCGGAAAGCGCATTCCAGAATGTTCGGCAGAACTCGAGGAAGCCGCGGATGCCTTTGCCTGCATTCTATATTCCATTTATGTATGGTAGAATCCTCCTTACTGAGACTTGTGAGAAGGCGTGTGCCATGGGCAATAATCGAATTGGCGAGCTACATTACAACAGATATTAATCTATGTCGCCGTTCTCCGAAAAATACAGACTGGTATCAAGCAAAGTGGACTTTTGGTGCTACAACAAATTATACATGAATCAAATGACCGTTAGCGACCCTTCACCAAATATACAGCGGCGCTTTGCAGCTGGCTCCCGAACATCTTGCTCAGGATGAAATAGATAATTCAGCATATCCAAATCATGCTCCGCCACAATCTTCTGCCCATCCCACGCACCGTCAGGCCATTGAATATCCTCCCGATTGACATACATAGGATAATGCATCTTCTGGATCGGTCCGGCCCAATCGAAATCGAGCAGCATGAAGTGTTTGTCGTCCCGCACAACGAAATTGGTATCTCGGAGGTCGCCATGAACGTAGCTGTCATTGTGATTGTGTAACTCCCGGATGAGAGTGGTGATGGTCTCCTTCAGCGGCTGACGGTCCGACACACTTATCTCACTGAGTAGTCGATATGAGCCAGGTCATTGCGGAAAGCAATCATTATCAATATCAAGGGCATCCATAACCACCATATTCCAGCCGCCAGGTAAAGAATTGTAGGCGATAATTTTCGGGGCGTTCCCCTTGCTGGCACAGAATTCATGGGCATGAGGGGAATAGTGCCTGACAAACTTCATGCATATCTTGCTCCCAGCCACACCGCCGACAGTTTCCCCGAAGAAGATAAGTCGATCCCTGAGGATTTGAATCTCATCATATGAGAATTGCTGAATGAAACCGGTGGAAGTGGTATAACTCCGAGGGTAAGGACATTTAAGATATGGATCTTCGGGTGCGAGGGACGGGATTGGACGGGAGTATAGTTTGGTAAGTTTCTCGACGGCAATTTTGAGAGCCCGAAAGTACGAGCTGCCATCACTTGCATGTGGAGGTCTGTTGAATGCCAAAACAAAGGAATGATAGGGACCAGGACATCGGACTGGACTTTTTCAGTGAAAACAGAGCCTGAAAAGCCGATGCATGCCCCTAGTTGTGATCAATAAACAGCTTTAGCAATTAATCTGGTGAAATGAACTAACCGAAGACGATGATATGGATGCATGGAATGAAAGACCGGAGCCTCGCCATCTCAATCTTCGAGTCTTCCATAAACTTGCGGTAGTACAGCATCGCCTCCATAAATGGTTCGGCAGCGCCGCTTCCGATCTCGTTCTTCCCCTCAATAATCATCAGCACAAACTGTCCGTTGGTAGACAAAAGATGTCCGTCCATCGTACATCCGGTCGAGCCAACCATAGAAGCATTCAGTATAATACCGTAGTCCCGGAGTACTTGCCAGAATGTATTCATCCGCGCGAGTTCATTGGGATAGAAGGAGGCCATCTTTTCCGACAGTTGCAAAACAACGTCGTTATCACGGACGGTTGGTTGATGATTTTGACAATCATCCACGAACTCGGCAAAGATAGGCTCGAGAAGAGTAATGGGAACAGGGTCCGCGGCTCTGCGAGGACGATTGCAAAGGTACTCTTGCTGGTCCTGCTTCGTAGAGAATGCGGATGGTTTTGCTCCGGCCGACGGACTACCCGCGCCCTTCTTGAGATAAGCGATTCGCCGATCAACAGCTGGAATTTGTCGTGCAACGGCAGGATGTTGTACGACGATATGAATGCATCCGCGCTCTATTCCATCCGCAAACACATCGGACAGTTCGGTTAACGGGTGCAGCTCGACGCCTCCGTCTATGATCGCGTTCCGTAAATCTATATTGTTCCAATCGATCTTGACCTTCGAAAACATCAGATTATTAACATTCAACCGTAGGCATCAGATCTCTCACCTTCCATAGCTCAAGACGGTCGGCGGCAACATGGTCAAACTCTGGCTTCTTAGCGACCTTGATAACATTTTTGAGGTCACTGACAGTCTTCGTCCGCTCAATGTCGACTGGGAAAATATGGCGAGGATCATCGCCGAAGACAATACAGTTGAGTTTCAGGCGGAGCGGTCCGGAAGACACTAAGTCGGACCACCATCAGTGAGGAAAGGGTGGCAATATCGAAGGACAACTCACCGGCAGGCGGGCATTGGATAATAATATGCAGATACTTGCGCGGAGGAGCATCGGGAAAAATCTCTACCATTTCATCCACAGGTGATAGGGATTTCATTGGGTCAAGTGTAAGATTGTTGAGATTTTGCTCAATCATCTCGTTGATGGGCAGGTCGACCTTCCAAAATATCATATTATCAATATCCGATCCTAGGCATCAGATCACTCACCTTCCATAGCTCAAGACGGTCAGTGGCAACATGGTCAAATTCCGGCCTTTTCTTGTCTTTGATGACCTCTTTGAGGTCACCAACAATCTCCGTCCGCTCAATGTCGACCGGGAAAATACGGCGAGGATTATCGCCCAAGACAATACAGTTGAGTTTCAGGCGGAACGGTCCAGACATCTGACATTGACAACAAGAGTGATGGCGTCTCCAGCGGTGACTGCAGTGAGCGCTCACTGCTGCAGCAAAAATGCACTTACAAAGCCAAGCAGCAACACCCTGTGACTGGGAAATTAATTTTCTGTGCGAATACACGGTGCCTGGGAAATTTCATCCCTTTCCGGGTGTCCAATGCACCATTTATAGGTGAGAAGTGGATTAAGGCCTGTTGCGGTGCATCTGTCGTCGCAATCAGAGGTAGTGTGATTTATCTTGCATGCACCGCAACAAGCCTTAATCCACTTCTCACCAATGAATGGTGCATCGGATACCCGGAAAAGGGTAAAACGGTGTAGAAACAACAATACAGAGAGGAACAAAAGATGCTCCTAACTGTATCTAAAAAATGTTGTAGGTCGAGTGTTGCCTAGTCTGCGTTACCTGAGGAGACAAGTGCGTTCGACCCTAAAGGGGAAGCAGGTGCAGCAAAGATCTACAGGTACGCGCTGAAGCGAAGCGCGAGAAAGCGCAGGTGCGCGCAAGGCGCGGGAACACGCGCGCGTATTTAGCGCGAAGCGCGGGAAAGCGCGCGTGCGTATGCAGAAACAACAGAGAGGTTAGACTTAAGTGATGATATGATACTAGATAAGAGAAGAGAGATGCGAGGTGTAAACAGATAGAGTTCTACTATGTTCTGCTAAGTAGTAAGTAAGTAGTAATAAGTAAATGGGAGGTAAAGTAAGGTAAAGTGTAGTATGTACTGCTGGCGCTTATATAGCGCGCCTAAGCGCAGTCATGCGGAGCCAAAGCGCTACCGAGTAGGTATGTAAAAATATATATGAGTGAGAAACTATGATAAAAATAAAGGTGGAACTATGCTAATAAAGGAAATGGAAATATACGTACTAGGGAGCTTGGTGGACAGTGGATGGATGCATCTGAATGGCTGGCGCTATAGGGCGCGCAAGCGCGGGAACGCGCGCGCGCATACATCGTGAAGCGCGGGAATGGTGCGCGCGTTGCGCGGGAAAGCTGCGCCTCATATAGAGATAGCTGCAGGTAGCGCACAGAGTGACACTACAAGTTCATGCCATGTACTTCCTAGTGTAAAGCTGTCATATCAGACCATGAGACACACGAGTCTCTACAACGGTCTATGACGAAATTTCCTAGGCAAAGTGGGCCTTAATCCACTTCTCACCCACAAATGGTGAGTCGGATACAGAGGTACTTTGATTTATCTTGCATGCACCGCAACAAGCCTTAATCCACTTCTCACCAATGAATGGTGCATCGGATACCCGGAAAAGGTTCAAACGGTATATGACGAAATTTCCTAGGCAAAGTAGGCCTTAATCCACTTCTCACCCATAAATGGTGAGTCGGATACCTGGACAGCCATACAGGATCTTCCAGAAGCAATGGTGGATAGGCCATTCCTGATGTAGATCAACTGCGGGTGCCAAGACGAAACCCGGAAATGCAGCACCGCACGTCAGCGACAGCACAAGAGGAAGGCAGGCGATGAAGATTTGGATGTGGCGGTTATCGCAGATGGACCCAAGTCACCTCCACTCTCGAGGTCCAGACAGAAGAGAAAGAAGAAGTTCCAATCGACTGACGAGGACAAAGTTCGCACCGGAACTATCTTGGTAAAGGTATGTTTGATTATGTGTGTATATGAATCTTGAACTCACACGCGCTCCCACCGCCTAAGGCAGCGTCAGACAAGGATTTGAATCTGGCGGGTATAGACTCTGCGGCCGATGACAGAAATGTCCGGGAGGAAGAGACATGGGTGCGTTATCTGCTTCCCTGCTCAACATTAAGAATCAGCATTCATATTGAACTGTATCCGGTATTTTATTACCTCCGGGACATCTGTATATTCTCCCGGAAATATGCTACCGGACTAGTTGATCACCGTCCTTGGATTGAAAGCATTATCTAGGTTTGGACTCTTAGATATACTGCGCGGGTCGCCGATATTGCGGAGATTCTGTGATTTTACCCAGTTTGATGCTCCAGTACATATATTATTTCACCTATTCCTTTTTGAATGGTTTTTGTGCGTACTGCTTAGTCCCACCTAGTCACATACGCCTGGCTTCATGGTGATTGCATGAAGCTTGAACTTCCAATAGCATAATATACTGCAGTGTATATAGCTCATCGGGTTGTAGGCCGGGCGTGATACAAGTTCTGGCATGCTGAGCTACGGAAAAACGATCGCGTCCAATTATAGCTCTGGGGGTGATAGGTAGCCAGCACGCTAACGCATATATCATCTTTTTATCCGTATGCGCTCCTATATCAAACTGTTGGTATTGCTTCATCTTTGTAGTAACTAAGCCCATGTGAGTTGTGGCTACCGAATATAGTAGCCGACCGGATTACTTGGTACATACGTAGCCGCAGGTCATCATACCATCTTCCGATACCAGGCATCGCCACAACCTGATTGGATGTCTTGCGTATCATACGGAAGATGTTCATGATGACAATTGATAACCTGTTTGGCGATTCTGGGGAATGCTTGGGATGTAACTTCTAGATAATCATGTATGCTGATGTTTCCATGCATTTATCACATAACTGGATCCATTTGGCTCATGATCTACAAGGGTTTCCACATCATCCGTGAAATTGATTTCTTGAATTTCCGGAGAGGTCAATCTGCAAATGTCAATATATATATCTCTTCCGGTATCACATCAAAAGTTGCATTGCTCTGCTATTTGTATTGGCTCCAAGGCCCAACCACATCCTGGATCGCATCCATCTTCACCAGAGACCCATATCCGACGTTTTAAGCCAGCGTACAAGCCCTTCCGAGAGCAACAGTTCACTAGTAGGGCCCATCCGTAAGATAGTGTAAATACGTGCTGGGTCATCAAATGGCCAACTGTGCTTTGCCAAAACCGCATTACACACAGAATCAATTGCTTGGCATGTCAGTTTGCCCTTGTAATGTTCACCGACCTCACAATAAAGGGCTGAGCCCATCCATCAAATGTTCCGAGATTATCCATCTTAGCTTGGTTGCCTCTCAGAGAGTAACATGCTTATAACACAGGCCGAAACATCACTTCCTGGCCCTTCTGAGATGAAACTCATCCTTGTTGGTCAACTGGACCTTTGCTGATTGAGCCTCACTGGGCCTAACAATGATTAGCTGAGCCCTCCCGTCAGCATTACTGAGATCAAAGCATATGCTGATGGGCCCAAAAATAACTAGCTAAGCTCATCCGTAACCCTAGAGGAGCGATGAGCTGGCCTGCTCCCCACGGGTCCCTGTTGCGCAGCCCATCTGCCTGGGCAGATCTCCATGATTAATACATTCATACACAGCCGCCACAACCGAATTTTGTCTTGTCTTGCCCACCCGACGACACAAAACGCGACTTCTTGGGCCGAAAACAACATCCGTGACACCAGCTGGCCCATCCCGGAAGCACCCCTTTGATCATATGTTTGCCATATGATGCATCAATAAACATATCGTTCAGCAGAATCGTCTTGAAAGTAGGCTATTGTATGCCAAACATTCCCGACAAAGCAAACTTTCAATGTAGTGGAACATCTGATTCATCTATTGCAAACCTTCATACATCTCCTCACTGCTATCTTATAGAAATACAAGACAAATACAAGTACAGCATTAGGCTCCTTTAGTCATGAAATGCGCAGCCGGATGTGCCAACGATCTACTCGCTGGATGTGCTGGGAGGGGCGCTAGAGAATCGGGAGGATAAAGGAGAGGAGGCAAACGGAAGTGATGTTCTGGGTACAGCTGTAGATACAGATCTCCTGGCATTATCTAGCCGTCTGCTGTTGACACCAGGGGGCTGCCTCCTCATCACCGCTGCCGGTATTGTGGAGTGACCACAACGGATATATGGCCTTATGTTGCTGCGATTGTGAGTCTCCGGCTATGCTCTCACAAGGACGGTGTATCATCCGATCGTCTTTGTGCTTCCGAAGAGCCATGGCCAAATTGCCCAGAGATGATGATGTCGCAGTCCAATGCTGATTCGAAGCGCTTAAACATTTCTCCAGCACGGTCAACCTCACATCTAATCTCTCCTCCATCACACCTAACCTTGTGTCTAACGCGTCCACCCGTTCGTTTGTGGCAAGGAGATCAAACCGTCTACCGAGGTCATGTATACTATGCAGTATATCTCTGGCAGTTGGCTCGGGCTCGGGCTGATGTCTGAGTCTGCCTGACCCAACCGTAGGATCGGTGATCGGTTGGGCCGTTGCTGGGGGTAACACTGTCTCCAAAGGCTGCATGGCCGGGGATGCCAGTGGATCCGGATGTGGAGTCACACCCTCCATCGGTTGGTCCGCATGTGAGTCTGAAATTTGATTGATTTTCGCTAGCCCGAAGCGTGCTATAGATGTGCTTACCGCCCGATAAATCCAACGGAACATCCTTTTGTCCGGCATGGGTGAATACACGAGCAGGTTTTTTCTTTCTTTTTGTGGTGGCAGCTTTAGCTTGAGTTTCGGTGGGGCGCGATTTGGGGGTGCGGATTTGAGTACGTTTGGGAGGAAGCGCTTCATCTCCCTTCAACTTTGCTTGCAACCTCTCCCGGACGCCAATGCCGTCAATTGCACAGGTTATCTTCATTTCATCGCAGTTGGCACAGGCAAGTCGCGTGAACCCATGTTTCTTGTCCGGCAGTACAATACAAGGTACATCCAATTTGACACATTTGTCACACTTTCGGGGGTGATAGCGAACGGAATACTGGGACGACATACATCACCTGATATTAGCATCCAGAGTATCAAGAACCCACCTCCGCCAGCCGTTGCAATGGTGGAATCACGACCCCATCCAGTAGGCTAGAGAAATAAGCATTAAAATGAAATCACCGAGTAGATGACGACCTACCCAGGTGTCTGCATCCCAGAAACCTTTATCGACCGTGTCCGAGGGCGTTGGATTGACAGGTCCTGCAACTGCATTTGCCGTCGATGCCGACGATTTGTGCTGCAACATTCATGCTAAAGTCAGAAGTACAAACAGCAAAAGAAGGACTGTAGCACCTTCCGGGTGACGAGTATGCTTCCGGTCAGGTGGTTCTCATCATCATCCGACATGAACTTCTTCTTCCTTTTCGGAGCAGATTGCCGGGATAATGGGCGTGGTGCTGGTCTACGCATCCCGTAAGTTTCATTTGTGGCATCATCTTCCGCTTGTATGTTCTTCCGCTTGGCCGGTTGTCGAACGGTCTTCGTTTGTGTCTTCATGTTTCCCGTCACACTAGGATCGTCCTTGCTTGGCGCAGCTGCGGTAGGAAGGGTACATAGGAGTCAGCGGTTCCAAAGGTGCCGTTACTGTTCGCGGAGGAGTCGGCGGGACCTGGTCAAACAAGGCTGCCAGGGGTAGATGCATGTGCATGTATGGCCGGGCTCAAGATATCCTTTGTGAGGGCAGGGTCTTGAACGTGAGCTATCGATCTGCCCTCCGGAGTGGCACCGAAGGGCAGTGTTGAGGAGGTAGCTTGCGCATCCGTCAAACCGGAAGCAACAGGTTCCGTGACCCCAAAACTAGTGACATGACGATAATTTACCGTCTTGTGGAATCTTGGATGATGCTTGATGCGTGGATCATTGTCGACGATGGTTGTCCAGTCCGGCAATGCTTGAAAGACGCCAGCCTTGGAATACTGCCGTACGACCGCTGCACATGACAGCAGCTGGGGGGAGAATGATGTCGCGTGGCCTGCGTAGAGTTTTAAGTCTTTTGCCTGTAACCAATTGTGTTAGTACCAACATTAACACCACATAAACGGCAGCGGACGTACCACACGTCTAGCGATCTCATCCGATAATGCCAACCCCGCCGCTGAATCGCCCTCCTTCAACTTCATACATCGCTTTATAAGCGATTGCACATCCTCTAATGTGTTATTCAGAGCAGCGTCTGCTTCGGAAGGTGTCATAGCACTAGATGCAAAATGTTGGTGAGTTGATAACAGCGCAACTCTCTGGGGAAGAGAAAAAGGAATGACTCAGAGAAATTTTACCCATATCAGGATCTATATGTCATATCCCATATATTCACGCTTCTCTTCCGGACTTCGGACCCTGAGATCCGGTCTGGTCCGATGTATAGATCCGCTTCCGATCCGATTTACGATAAGCTTTCTAATTCATTTCCTGTTTCATATAACGTTAAACACAGCCTATTCGGTATTTCCTCTTCCCGGTGTTTCGGTTATGCTTATTACCGGTATGATTACTGATCCGTTAACCTATGTCTCATTTCCGACTCGCGTTTGATAACCTTTGCACATGCTTCGTACATAGCCTCGGACCCTTGCTTACTGATACTTCCGTTATCCTCATAGTATATAAACTCGTGTATATGTCCTGTAGTACCTCAGTTCGAATATCATCTTAGTTTGTCCTCTTTCTGTCCTCCGGACTTGAGTTCTCCTTACTCTTGTCACTCTCCGAGACTTCGGATAGATTCCGATAGTCTATATCCTCGGCTCTACCTTCGGGTAGTCTTTACTCTGTTAGTTTCTAGTTCGGATACGTCCGGATTAGCCTTATACGCGTTTCCGATATCCGGAAGACTTCCGGATATACTACGAGACCCGTCCGGACCTTCGGACGCGTTATCGTTAGTACTTTGAAATAAGGGACAGTACTTGGGAAAGGGGCACAGCGTACGAGCTGAGGCCGAAGTCCTTCGGATCCGATCTTACGAGAGTACGACCTTAACAGTATATTCGAACTCACACCTTTCCAAGTACACTTACTCATATCATGGCTCCTACTAAAGTAAACCAAGCCGCTTTGCACGCTGTCGGACTTTCGTCCACCCGACGCGATCCGACATCCGTAGTTAACGCCTTCACCAGTTTCTCTCAGCGCCGTGTATCACGCGGTCCTGCTCAAAGTATTTCGCAACTCATGAATCGTCCGCATCCGGAAACCCCTACGCGCACTCCTGCCGGAGGTGATCCGGATGACGAAGGACCTCCGGACGATGAAGATACTCCTGGTGGAAACCCTCCGGATGACTTCGGAGGTGATCCGGATGATGAACCGGATGACAACGATGATGAATTTGACGGGTTAAACCCACAAGACCGTGTCATGCTTCGGCTTTCTCAAGCCATCGACAATCTCGCACGCAACAATCGTCGTCCGACCTCGTCCGAAGATTCTAAAGTCAAGATCCGTGAGCCCGATACTTTCGATGGCACTGAGCCTCGGAAGCTTCGTGCATTCTTCGTCCAATGCGAGCTCTACTTCCAAAGCAAACCCAAAGCCTTCCGTTCCGGACGGGCAAAAGTCAACTTCGCCCAATCCTACCTTAAGGGTATGGCACTCGAGTGGTTCGAACCGGATCTCCTAGCCGACGAGGACGATGATCGTCCGGATTGGATGGATGATTACTCCGCGTTCATGCTTGAACTCCAAACCAATTTCGGACCGCACGATCCGTCCGGAGATGCGGAAATGCAATTGGAGCAACTTCATATGCGTGACGGACAACGCATTAATAAATATGTTGTTGAATTTCAGCGTCTTGCTTCACAAGTCCGTGGCTGGGGTGACGGTGCCCTAAGACGCCAATTCTATAACGGACTTCCGGCTCGTATCAAAGACGAAATCAGTCGCATGGGTAAACCTTCCACCCTTTCCGAATACAAGATCCTTGCCCAGACTATCGACGCTCGATACTGGGAACGGAAGGGAGAAGTCGCCCGCGAAACTAAACCCACCACCTCCATTCCTCCTAAGCAAACCACGTCCGATCGGACGAATTCCAACTCGTCCGGACCTTCGAGGTACAAATCCGACAACCCGCTACTTCCGCATCATCCTCCGTTTCTAAACCTCCGGACCTTACCTCCAAGTTAGGAAAGGACGGGAAGCTCACGTCCGAAGAACGTAAGAGACGGATGGATAACAAACTCTGTCTATTCTGCGGTGGACCCGGCCATTCGGCTCGGGAATGCACCAAGTCTACTTCGCGCGCTGCCAAAGGCCGCGCTGCAGTAGTAACTCCGGAAGACAAACCGGAGGCTTCGGATGCAGCAAAAAAATAGTCCGCAACCCTCCCGACTCCGCACGGGATGAGGGTTGCGTTGACTCTACCCGTGCAACGGAGCTACGTCTCAATGCTGTTTCTCTTTCCGATCCGAACTCTCTTGTCCATACGTTTCTATTCCTACTTTTCCTGATATTTCTGATTTTCCTTCACTAATTGATTGTGGTTCCTCTCACTGTTTTATAGACTCTGATTTCGTCCGAAAAAATAAAATTCCTACATATCCGATATCTCCGCTTTCTCTCCGTTTGTTTGATGGTACTTGTAATAATATGATTTCTGAAGCTATAGATTTGCCTATCTGTTTTCCGTCCGGTGTAGTTACCTCCGATACGTTTTACGTTACTCCGTTGGATTCTTCTTGTTTTATCGTTCTTGGATATAGCTGGCTCACCCTACACAATCCGTTGATTGACTGGGTTTCGGGCAGCATCGATTTCCGAACGACTTCTCATGGAATGCCTTCGACACCTCCGACGTCGCTTCCGTCTCCGGATCCGCATCCTCCGATGGAAGATTTACCTCCTCCGACTACATCCGGAACCTCCGCTGATAAAACCATCCCCAACATTTCCTTGATCAATGCGGTTGCCTTTTGCCGGGCCTGCAAATTGGAAGGATCGGAACAGTTCAGCATCTACCTTCGTCCGACCGGTGTAGACCTCCGGTCCGCTTCCCTTTCATCCGATCCTCCGGACCTGTCCGGAATTCCTCCGGAATATCACGAATTCTCGGATGTGTTCGATAAGGGCAAGCTAGCCAACTTCCTCCTCATCGTCCCTATGATCTCAAAATCGAGTTAGAGGAAGGAACTAGTCCGCCCCTCGGAACCATTTATTCTCTATCTGCAGTTGAGCTTGCAGCCCTCCGGAAGTTTCTTGATGAAAATATTTCCTCCGGACTCCTCCGTTCCTCATCCTCTTCTCACGGAGCTCCTGTCCTGTTTGTCAAGAAAAAGGATGGCTCCCTTCGCCTCTGTGTAGATTTCCGTGGACTTAACCAGATTACCAAGAAAGACCGATATCCGTTACCTCTCATTACCGACCTCCTAGACTCTCCGAGCCGCGCTAAAGTCTATACCAAAATCGACCTCCGATCCGCTTATCATCTCGTCCGGATAGCGGACGGAGACGAATGGAAGACCGCGTTCCGAACGCGTTATGGCTCATATGAATGGTTGGTAATGCCGGAAGGTCTCACTAACGCTCCGGCTGCATTCCAACGCTTTGTCAATAGCGTGTTTGCTGATATGCTGGATGTATGCGTTATCGTATATCTGGACGACATCCTCATCTATTCCCAAGACCTTGCATCCATAAGGAACATGTCCGAGAAGTCCTTCTCCGTCTCCGAAAACATCGACTCTATGCTAAACCCGAAAAATGCGCGTTCCATACCACATCCGTTGAATACCTTGGTACATCCTATCTCCGGACGGCTTTGACCATGTCGTCCGAGAAGATCCAGTCCATCGTTGACTGGCCGGAACCTCGGAAAGTTAAGGATATTCAATCCTTCCTCGGATTCGCAAATTTCTATCGTCGATTCATTTTCAATTACTTGGACATCGTAGTTCCGCTCACCCGTCTTACCCGCAAGGGGGTTACTTGGGATTTTTCCGATGATTGTCGGAAGTCTTTTGAAACACTCAAGAAAGCTTTCACGTCCGCTCCGGTGCTTACGCACTGGATTCCGAATGTTCCGATAGTCGTAGAAACCGACGCCTCTGACTACGCTATAGCCGGAATACTTTCCATAGTATGTCCGGACTCAGAGCTTCGTCCGGTGGCATTTTATTCTCGGACGCTTACCGCTCCGGAACTCAACTACGACACTCACGATAAGGAACTTCTAGCCATCCATGAAGCTTTTCGGACGTGGCGACATTACCTTGAAGGCTCTGCCGAGCCGATAGACGTTGTCACGGACCATAAGAACCTTGAGTATTTCTCTACCACAAAACTCCTCTCTCGCCGTCAGGCCCGCTGGTCGGAATTCCTCCATCAGTTTAACCTAGTCATCCGTTTCCGTCCCGGAAAACTCGGAGCTAAACCGGATTCCCTTACTAGACGCTGGGACGTCTATCCCAAAGAGGGGGATAGGACTACGCTCGAGTTAACCCTCACAATTTCCGTCGGTATTCACTTCGGAACAGTTAGCTTCGTCCCTCCGAGCCTCAACTCTAGTAACTCCGGTTCTTAGGGCAGCCGTTCTGATTGATATCGACCAGCTCCGGAAAGACATCCTGACCGCACTTCCTAATGACCCTATCGCATCCGAACATCTTCCGGAACCTTCGGATCCGAGATGGACGGTGGACGATAGTGGTTTCCTCCGCTGCGACAACCGTATATATGTTCCGGAATCTAATATCTCCGTCTTCGCGTCCTCCAGAATACTCATGATCATCCGTTGTCCGGACACTTCGGACAGAACCGGACGCTAGATATCATCCGACGCGAGTACACTTGGCCAGGAATCCGTACCTATGTCAAAGACTACGTCAAGTCTTGTACTTCCTGCGGCCGAGCTAAGGTTCCGAGACACAAACCTTACGGATTTGCTCAAGCAGTTACCCATACCGGAAAAGCCTTGGAATTCTATATCCATGGGATTTCATCGAGCACCTTCCGGACTCATCCGGCTTTACAGCCATCCTCGTCGTAATCGACCGTCTATCCAAACAAGCTATATTCATCCCCTACCCACGACACCATTACCTCTCCGGATCTCGCTCGTCTATTCGTCCTCCACGTGTTTTCCAAGCACAGAGTTCCATCCCATGTCACTTCGGACCGAGGAACAGAATTCGTATCGCCATTTCTTCCGGTCCTTAGGAAAGCATTAGATATGGTCCTCCACTTCACGTCCGGATATCATCCGGAAGGAGACGGACAAACCAACGAGCGAACCAAACCCTTGAACAATACCTCCGGATATACTGCAACTATCAGCAGGATAACTGGTCGGAACTACTTCCCTTGGCAGAATTCGCTTATAACAACGCTCCGAGTGCTACTACCGGAGTATCACCTTCTTCGCCAATAAGGGATATCATCCGAACCTATCCGTTCATCCGGAACGTGACCTCTCATCCGCCCGCGCACGAGACTATGCAGTAGACCTTGACGAACTCCATCAGTTCCTCCGAGAAGAAATGGCCCACGCACAAGAAAGATATCAAGGACCTGCGGACGCCAAACGGAAACCTGCTCCGGATATGAAAATCGGAGATCCGGTCTTCGTCAAGCAAAATACTTCCGATCCACCCGTCCGTCCAAGAAAACTCTCGGAAAAGAACTTAGGTCCGTTCGAAATCATAGCTCGTCCGGGTACGCATTCTTTCACCATCCGACTTCCGGATTCCATGCACTCCGTACACACCAGTTTTCCATGTCTCGCAATTAGAACCAGCCACACTCAATACCATTCCTAATCGTATCCAATCGCCTCCGCCTCCGGTCGAAGTCGACGGAGAACCCGAATATGAGATATCCGAAGTTTTGGACTCAAAATTAGACCGTCGGAGAAGACAATGTCAACTCCTATACCTCGTCCGATGGTCCGGATATGAAGGAACGGACGAGGAGACTTCATGGTTACTTGCTACGGAGCTCGGTAACGCATCCGAACTAGTTTCGGACTTCCACGCTGCATATCCGAACAAACCCGGTCCTATTCAACTTTGAAGTACATAGTGTGCATACGAAATACAAGTACATTTAGAGAAGAAGCATAAACGGACCAGAAATTCCTACATCTCCATAGACCCATCCGCCTCTCCGGATCCGCCTGCATCACTTCCGGACGCCCTTCTCCATCACCTCATCTTCCTCCTCCGGACCCGGAGACGTCCGAAATCCCTTCCGAATATGTCCGAACAACATGGCTTGAAAATTCCCTCTGTTGCTGAAGGAACAGCTCAATTCCGGAGCTCATCCGGTCCGCTGCAGCCCTGCTGCCTTCCGCCGCCTGAATACTTCTCTCCAAAAGGGTGTTAGTCCTAGCCAGCTCCGCCACTATACTGTTGGCTGCGGCCACCCAAGCCTGATCATCGTATTCCGTCTCCATCTCCTCCGATCTTCAGGAGTCGGACTCTTCTGACGTTTCTTACCTTACCTTTCGGAGATGGAGATCCGGCAGCATGCTTCCTCTTCTTGCCCTTGGGCACCTTGACAGTTTCCGGGTCGTCCGGGGCACGTAGCCTTGTCCTTTCCGGCAGATATCGCAAGACTTGACCTATCCGGACGTCAAAACACTCGGATCCGAAAAAAAAAAACACGGATTAACTCACCAGAGCATTGCTCTCCGCATCCGTCCAAAAGGCAAGTCCGGCCTCTGTCCGCTGCAACGCTTGCAGGATCCCGTCCTTGTCAGCGGAAATGGCACGAGACTTTTCATCCGTCCAAGGCAAAGCCATCATAACCATCCGAAACTCACCATTTCCTCTACTATCCTCCCTGCGCCGTTTGTTTTCTGCCTCCACCGAATTTCGGACTCTCGAATCCTCTTAAGATCCTCCTGAATCTTCCGTTCCTCTTCACGCTTCCGCTCCGCCTCCTGACGCTTCCGAATCTCCTCCTCCTCCTTCCGAGCCGCAGCTTCAGCGTCCGCTAGTTGCTGTTGAAGCTCCAGCAGTTTCTGCTTAGCAGTCTTCTGAGATCCGGAGGTGTTGCCAGACATTTTCGATAGAGCGTTATAGAGAGTAAAAAGTGGGAAAGGAAGAATCATCCTGGGACGTCCGCCCTTGAGTATACCTGTCCCGATTCCGAACTCAGACGCTTCTCCATCATCTCGCGATAATCTCGTCCGGTCCGGACCGATGGTTCTTGTGCCTCTAGGGATCGGCCCTAAGGGGGTGATACTGTCATATCCCATATATTCAACGCTTCTCTTCCGGACTTCGGACCCTGAGATCCGGTCCGGTCCGATGTATAGATCCGCTTCCGATCCGATTTACGATAAGCTTTCTAATTCATTTCCTGTTTCATATAACGTTAAACACAGCCTATTCGGTATTTCCTCTTCCCCGGTGTTTCGGTTATGCTTATTACCGGTATGATTACTGATCCGTTAACACTATGTCTCATTTCCGACTCGCGTTTGATAACCTTTGCACATGCTTCGTACATAGCCTCGGACCCTTGCTTACTGATACTTCCGTTATCCTCATAGTATATAAACTCGTGTATATGTCCTGTAGTACCTCAGTTCGAATATCATCTTAGTTTGTCCTCTTTCTGTCCTCCGGACTTGAGTTCTCCTTACTCTTGTCACTCTCCGAGACTTCGGATAGATTCCGATAGTCTATATCCTCGGCTCTACCTTCGGGTAGTCTTTACTCTGTTAGTTTCTAGTTCGGATACGTCCGGATTAGCCTTATACGCGTTTCCGATATCCGGAAGACTTCCGGATATACTACGAGACCCGTCCGGACCTTCGGACGCGTTATCGTTAGTACTTTGAAATAAGGGACAGTACTTGGGAAAGGGGCACAGCGTACGAGCTGAGGCCGAAGTCCTTCGGATCCGATCTTACGAGAGTACGACCTTAACACTATACCAATATGTCGGTGGTGGGTGTTTCCGAGAAACGCGTGGCCTACATAGAAGCATGGGTGTCTGGACCGATTTAATGTAATTATCACGTAATAGAAGGTTGTTATCGATCATTGTCCCACGTACTCAATTGCCGTACATATCACAGTATATCTTGGCGCATATTTATTATGTTCTCCGACTTCATTTTCACACATATGATCATGTCTGAGCTACATGTTCGTTGTGCCACTCCAACTATGTCAAATCCTGGCGACGAAGTGTCCTCATATGCTGATGACAAACTCTCCAGCATCGATTCTACCGAGTCTCAATCGGTGTTCTACACCTACTGACTCCCTGGTACAGGACCGCCGCGCATTGGAGGAGGATCCAATCGATTGGTGGGGCACCTATGTCCCTTTAGAGTCATGGATTCCCCCCAAATCGGAGAGCATTCCGACATTTCAAGGATCATCGGACTGGAATCATATCCGGTGTATAAATGCAAGTTCTACATAACCCCTATTCGGCCCGGTATTCTGAAAACATCCCCATTAAGTATATAAGTTCCGTGCCGAGCTTCCCCATTATGAATATCGAAGTGATTCCATGGGAAAGAAAGAGAAAAGTAAGTCGTTTGCTGGATTGCTGGCATGGTTGAACAAACCTGGTCCGCAGAATACGAACTTTGTTTCAATGGTGACTTTGATGAAGTCACAAGCATGCTGTCGTGAGCATGGAAAATGCTTCATCCATTTATCTAACAAATTGAATTAGACATGTATGTAACTGAATTGCTTCGGACCCCAAACTTTTTAAGAGGCCAACATTCCCGAACAATCAAAGGTCCTGTTGGTCAGTTATCTGCACAAACTGGATTTTCCAGTGACTGAACTTATGAATAGAATTAGGAGGTGCAACATCGGAAGGTTAGCACGCTGACAGCCAGGATCAAGCGAACTTATGTTGATCAATCGGAAGATTCAGCTAAATCGCAGACATCACCAAATGCCATCAGTCCGGTGATGGATTCAACAATTCTCCAGATCCTTATGATTGTGGATGGGACGATCCGACTGTCGATGGAGCTGCTGCCGTTCACGAGTTTTCCGCACCCGATTCATACAATTGCGGATGGGAGGATGGCACCACAGCGCCGGAAGAGCTGCGAAGCCTGGAGATGGTGCGTTTGTTCAATAACTCATGAGAATAGACCATATTAATATGATTAGGAAATGCAATATCTGAAGGTTGGCACAACCTGGCTGCCAGGAATACGCTACTTGTGTTGATAAAAGAATGTATGCCAAATTCACAGACATCACCGCATCCCATGGATCCGTGCCGGATTCCATGACTCTCATCGATGATCCCTATGATTGCGGATGGGATGGTGCTATTGCACCCTCAAATCAGTTATCGATGCCTGATCCTTATGATTGTGGATGGGAGGACCAAACTGCAGCTCCGAATGAAGTCATAATGCCGGGAAAGTTTGTTGGTTATGTACTTCTTCACACTTCTACTAACCAGGTTATAGGATCAGATAATGATGAACCGGAGGAAGGCGAGTACTATCTTGGCAGCCAACATTTGATTACTCAACCGCAAAGCAGACTGGCTGCATTGTCAAATCTGATGAGAAATGAAGTTTTGCAGGAACCTATACCCGCAGATGATGTATACCAGTCCGAATGGGATGATCCGATGGTGAACAGGGCGTATCGCTAAATGAGTCTGCCGCTGCAGACCCATACGATTGCGGATGGGATATAGTGTAGATACCGAAGCCTCAGCAATGAATGTCTCATCGGAAGAAAGTTAGTGGGCATTTTGTTGTTTCAATCCCAACTGACAGGTTCACAGGATTGAATCCAAGCCAGGATGAAGGTATAAATCAACCTTCCTGCCAGGAAGGCCGTGATTCAACAGATGATACGGCTCATTTGTCACACTCTATTGACAATGTTAGTCAACTGAGACATGCGGGAAATCGTCATACGAGTCCGGGTGGGATGATCCGGTTGTCCAGGAGACGGCTCTCTCAAAGTCATCGACGGCCAATCCTTACGACTGCGGATGGGAGGATGATGCTTCGTTGCCAGAAAAAACAACAACAACGGAGATAGCACCGATGATACATATGGATGTGGGCGCAGGACTTTGCGATGACCACAACTGCCGAGATATTTCAGGATCCTTCGATGAACATGGGGACTATAGTGCAAATCGGCACATTGTTCCCACCGATCGGTCAGGTCGGATTCAATAAATTCATTCAAAGTGGATGACGTTGATATGGAAAACACACTTCCGGACATTCAAAAGGACAGCACCGAGGATCTTTACGATTGTGGTGGGACGATCCAATGGATAACACAACTATCAGGAGTACCGGAAGTGTCTGATATGAGAAGGAAATTGATGTCATTGACCTGACATCGCCAGAGGGGAGAGAAGTTATAGACTTACATCTTTACCTGCCACCTCAAGTAAGTCATATTGACTTGCTGCATTCTTTGCTAATGTCCGATATACAGGGCGGTCCTCTTCACCAGCCGATCCCAATGTGTTTGAGGAGGCTGAAGAGTCCATGCGTCGAGCTATCCAACGACTAAATAGCATAGGACATAATGACTGTGAGTATGTTGATCTTGCAGCTCCATCACGCTGACCTACACGTGAGGCAGTCGATCGATATATACACAGCATTGTCACACCAGCGGTCACACGTGTGCCTGACCCTCGGCCGGCAATCACATTCATGGCAAATCGAAGTTTGTTTGGTGCATACGCGGATGCCAAAGATCGGTGACCGAACTCGGTGCAGATGTCATTATATTCACCGTTTGCTCAACATTCACCGCCGGATAATGGACCCACTAGATGCCATGATCACCGGTATAGCAGCGGCAGCCTCACATGCATTGACTCAATTGCAGTATATAATTAGTCCAAATACTTTCAATGTTGGTGTAAAATGAGCTAGTGAGCAATACAAGGGGGCCGGACATACAAAGAACTCGAC